GCAATATTGTTGCGACATTGCTTTAAATACTTCCAACATTGTTCCAACATTGCAACGCTGTGTTGCGGTAAAAATCGTCGTTGCGAATCGTTCCGTGTAACATCACCTTTATAGGCCATTTCCGAGTATCCTCAAGCCTCTGTTTCAAAGCAAGGCTGAGTGCAACGCCATTGATCTGACGATGATTTTTTAATTCTCGTGCAAATAAAAGTCATTTTTACAAGGTAAGTTTTGCACTTTGCCCAGTTTTGTAAAAAGTAAGAGTTTTGGGAACTCGCAAATGGCCTATTGGTTGAGTCAAGTTATAACACCCCCCCCAAAAAAAACATTCATTATCTTGTACGCGATCTGGTGATCAACTTGTTGTGGAACATTTTAGATAGTTTTATGATTAACAAGGAAGAACTGTGAGGACATCTGTTTGTATAGCCTCGACGTCATTTTTTTCACTTAAAGGTGTATGTTTCCAGGTTTCTGTTCAATCTACTTTTCAACCCGCTTTTGCTTGTAAATAAACTTAATAATTTAACTGTTGTTTCTCAAAATGCTCTCCTCTGCCTAAAGTTTACTACTTCCCTTGATTTACACAGAGTAGCATAACGGTAGACTGAGATGAGATTTTCATACGAAGCCCTCTATCCTACGCGCGTGTAAGGCGAGGGATAGTTTTTCTCTCTCTGAGTCTCACACTTTGTTTCCACCCTCGCTCCAGGTGTCGGTTGGTCAAACAAATGAGATAAATAGAGAATAATACATGGTCGCGCGGAGATATGGAATTTATCTTCGAGTGTTCACATCGATATCGAACGAGTGAGCGCAGCGAACGAGTGAGATATCGAATGTGAACACGAGAAGATAAATTCCATATCTCCAAGCGTCCATGTATTATTCTGTTTATTATATAAACATACTGATGACGGCGTTTTTGATGATTTGCCGAAGATTTCCGAAGATTTTTCAAATTGTCCCGAAGACTAGACGAACGTTCCCGAACATTTTCCGAAAATTTCCGAAGATGTCCGAAGATTGCCGAAGATTGCCGAGCACTTTCGAGGAAGATCCGAAGATGTTTCGATGATACACCAACGAATTTAAGTACAATTTAAGAGACAAACCTGATGTCAGTGAAATTATCGATATCTGCACATGTAAAAATATCGTATTTTTACGTGTGTTCAGATACCACATTTCTCGGTGGTAGAAATCCTTGTAAAACACTGCAGTTTATATAATAAATAGGGTTATCCTGGGGCCGGGACGTTTTTATGACCACTCCCGCGTTCCTGACCTACGCAAATATACAGCTTGTTTCGTAACCTACGTAGCAGGGATGCGACGAATCTTCTGGGACTGTTTCAGAAAATATATAGGAATTCAGATCAGATGGTGCTTGGAACGTTTCTTTTTGGGCACAGTTTGTATGCCGGCTTACAAAGTGGCTAAAGTGGTCGGACCAGGTGCCTTCAAACGGAGCGGTCATTTTCTATGATGCAGGATTTTTCGGCAAAGCTCAGAAGCTGTCGGTTTGTCACAAGTTAGTTACAGGACAAATTTCAGCTCACTACTATTCTTCTAAAATATGAAATACTCATTTACGTCTCTTTCGTCTGGACCAAGGACCACATACTGGAAACAGGAACCTTAAAGCAAGGACAACGCGACGCAGTGAAAACGTCTAGAAAAGTGCGCCGTCCACAGTCCTGATGGGCGCTATCGCGCCCATATTGCGACAGTATAGAACGTTTTCACTTACATGGCCAGCATCTATGCTAAGGTATTGAAACAAAGAAAGCATTTACATGAGAAAAGAGTTCACCCCCAGAGGTTTTCTGGTTACACCAACATGGCCGCCGTTTCATTGTTTTGGAACACCAATATGGCCGCCGTGACGTCATGTGAAAATGCTCTATCTCTAGGCCCCCTCTATCACAAAATCCTCCGTCCGCCCCTGATGACAATTTCATTTTCCAGGCCTAGAAAGTCATAGAATTTAAATGAGGGTCCTAGAAAGTCATGGGAAATCCGATTTCATTTTGGTAGATTAGTTAACGCAGATGTTAAAGTTTGGAGAATGTAAGATAGAGTCAACTCATTGATAAGTGCATAAACCAAACGCGTTTTGGTGGTGTCACTATGCAGAGATCGTGTCTGTTGAACTAGGTGAGGTAAACAAAAATAAAAAACTAGAATAGTTTTGAAATTGTTTGGAAGTGACAGCTTAACCTTAGGTCTTAAAAAAACTGGGAAAGTTCATGGAGAAAGTCATGAAATTTGAAGAGCTCAAAAGAGTACAAACCCTGTTATGGTCGTCGGTTATTAACATTCAAAGGGGATAGACATAACGGCAGCTCAAGCTACTTTTGGGGGCCAGTGATTTTCTTAAAGCGCGCTGTGAGGTGGCTGAACAGTTGGACAGGTTGTGAGTCGTTATGGGGTGTTAATAAAGACTCGTTGCAGGCTTAAAACTTACCCGAAGTATTGCTAAAGGAATTTTATGGTCGCCGTTTTGTTCGAACTAGATCCTAGCTAGAGAACAGCAGATCTGGAAATCCAGAAAGAAGGCTGTGGAACATCATCCTTTTGCTGGAATAAGAGAGTTCATGCAGTTAAAACAGCTTTCCTCTCTGGGTTCCGTCAATTTCCGGACTTTGTGACGTTCCTGTCTACCCTATTTAATGTAGGAGGCCATAAATAAATCGGTTGGCCGATTCAACATGCACAATTGTCTGCATTACATGGGTGATGGGCTCCTGGTGACAAATACTAGGGGGACTGGGCGCGGTTGCATAACACCTTCAAAAGGTTTCCCAAAAATGGTCAAGTGAGCCTGCTCATCCTGTTTGCAAGCTAGGTAACCAGTGGCGGATCCAAGGGAGGGACACGCAACACCCCCCCCCCTCCCCCCCGCCCCCGCCTAATTTTTAGACCAAGCTGAGGCCCGAGACCGGGCCGACTATTTTCTGCGTCAGTGTTTGCTCTGAGGAAGTCGAGCGTGGACTTCATTGATGACCTTACATCCTTACATGCAATCTAATGAAATGTGCTGACGTCCCAGATTTACAGTCTCTAAAAATAACCTTATTGAAATTCACACATTCCTTCCAACGCCCTAATATTCCCTCTCTGTCTCGTTATTCTCTCTTGTTATTACGAATTAATTACTCTCTTGTTATTACGAATTAATTATTATTATTATTATTTTTATTTTCTATATGGTTATTTAAAAAATTCGCGAAGATTTTTATCCGCGGATCTGTAATTTCTCGTTTTTTATAATCGCGAAAAACACAAAATTAAGTACTAATAAGGTACTCGTCCGGCTATTCCCTAAATTAAACTTGACTCCCTCCTACAACTATTCACAACCATTCCAACCATTACTCCTCTCCAAAGTATTAAAGAGGTTGTGCGATTATTACGCTAAAAATTAAGCTCTTATCACAACAATAATAAGAGTAGCTACAGTACAGTAAACCAAGGAAAAGCTTCGGCTTATGAATATTAAAATTGTAAATGTTTTAACCCACCGTTATAATTATAGCTTCAAACAACAGCTTATAAACATGCAATTTGTTTTTTCTGATTCGCCTCTCGCCATTCCTTCCGTCGATACAAGAGACTGAATGGGAATTCCTTCAATGTTCCTTCGTAAAACCAGTGTTGCGGGAACTATTTTTGGAAGCAGGGGCTGGGAAAAGGAGTCGAAAGATTTGACCCCCACCCCCCCTCCCCTCCTTTAGTTAGCTATTGTGAGAATGTTTAGTGCCTTGTTTCTTTTCAATGACGTCATTTGGTGATTGTAGCACTCGCAATACCGTGACGGGATTATTGTCGGTGGATGGATAGACACGTGGCATACTCGTGCAGATTTGTACCATTCATTCGGTTCAATTCAAATATTGAATTCAGTTTGAACAATAATTAATAAACCCGTCACCTTGGGGCCTTACGATAACATCAACTTAAATAGCTAGATGTGTTGAAAGATTACGCGATTCAAGATATCGGAGCTACGCTGGAGTCATTTCGATTCTTAGCTCTTTTCCGTAAAGCCCTGGGTGGGGCTTAACAAGCACATAAGGAATAAGCCGGTTCTAGTAGGAAAGGGGTTCTAAGCGGCAAAACGTCTCTTTTTCGAAGACTCCCAGTAATTGACTAGCCGATCAAATAAATATACAGAGTGGTCTTCACAAGGCATTTTATCACAAAACAAAACCCATTAAAGGCACAGAGAAAGTAAGAAAAAGAATGTAATTAGATTAATTTGATCTCGTTGCCAACTTTCCTGTAATACTTTTTGATTATGCGATGTTTGTATAGGTTAGGTCTGGGTCGATACGCTCAGTGTACAAATGTTTCGAACACGTAAGTTTTAATGCAAGGAAATTTTGTCAAACCATTTAAGTTAGTAAAAGTTTCCGGTCAAAGCAAGTAAATCGGCAAATGCACATCTACAAAAGGCTAAGGAAAAACACTGACGGTCATAAATGACCTTGGTCACTTTGCAAATACTTCGAGATCCATCTTTTGTCTCGCGTCATTTTCTTCCGTAAACACAGTCAGCAGTTTATCGAGCTACAATGACATGAAAACATTTCGGCTTCTTAAGTTGACTACTTAATTCAATAATTGAGTAAAATAGGTATGTCTTATCAAAAAAATAGCGTCTCCAACTGAATCGTGTGTTTCAGTTTTCGTTCAAAGCTTTTTTTACGAATTTACCTAAGATATCCTTTTATCTCTGTTTGAATTATAACTTACTAGGTCACCTGCGATGTTAGGAAAAATGTTTATATGATTATCAAGCTTTCTTTCTGAATGGTCTTAACCCTTGAAGTCCCAAGAATGACTAACATCAGTTGTCTCTCAACAATATCAATAGATAATGAAAAGCCTGAAAAGAGTATGAGAATTAATAAAATGATCTTTTCTCAAATTCTCTCAGACGTTCCTTTGAGGCGGTCTGGAGAATTTGCATGTAGATATTAGGGCTTGAAGAACTAATGTTCATATTGTTCAGTGGTTCTTGGAATTACATGAGCCTTGAAAGGAAAAGGTTTCAAAGTTAATCCAAACTTTCCACCATGCAGGTTAGGTTTTTCGCTGTCACAGGGAAGCTGAAGATTCACAAGCTGCAGCATACAACCCAGGAACATAAACAGCTCAGCCTTTGCTAGGGTGTCACCGAGGCAACGCCTTCCACCAATGGAGAAAGGAAGGAAAAGCGGCTGCAAATCCAGCCGAATCTGCCCAGCCTCGTCAAGAAAGCGATACGGATTAAAAGCCTCTGGTTCTTGGAAGTGATTTGCATCATGGCTCAAAGCCCAGAGATTCACTATCACGGTGGAATTTTTGGGTATATGGTAGCCAGCAACAGTTGAGTCTTCAGTTGTATAGTGTGGGAGTGCTAAGGGAACAACGGAAGCTTTACGCAGAACCTCAAGTACGGTGGCTTGTAGCAGAGGCAGCCTTGCGCGGTCTTCAAGAGTGGGAAGGCGATCTGTTCCTATCTCGCGCTTCAGTTCAGCTTGCAGCTCCTTCTGCAAGCCAGGGTCAGAGAGGATAAAGAGCAGCGCCCAGTGAAACGCTGTGGACACCGTTTCAATGCCTGCTCCAAAGATATCAGCTATAATTGTGACTACAGAGTCGTTGTCTAACTGCATCTTAACCTCTTCTTCAATTTCTTCTTCGATGATTTTATCCAACGATGCAGCAGCATTGACACCAGCGTCTTCCACACTCGCGTGGCGTTGCAGATTGTAAACTTTCCCCACAAAGTCGATCAGCTCCCTTACAGAGGCTTTCAAAGCCTTGCACTGCTTTCGCAAAGCGAAATGAAGCCACGGGAAAAAGTCGAGCAAGTTTACGACAGCATTGTTCTCAATAAAGGCAGTTGATCTCTTCAAGATGCTCTGGAATTCAGCCGCGTTATTTGTTTTAAAGTTATCTCCAAACACGAGTCTAAATGAAAAATTGATCAATAGATCTCTGATGTAACTAGTCAAGTCGAGAGCTCCGCAAGTGCTTTCTATTAGCTCTCTACAAAAGCGTTCCGTTTCTTGTTGCGCTACAGTATTAAAACGTTTTACATCGCTGAAAACAGCATGTAGGGCACGAGAGGCCAGTTTTTTGTTTCTTTTATGCAGAGGACCACTGTAGCCAAACGCTATGCTCTTACCTCCATTGCTGCTAATTAGGAAATTGTGAAAGGGCGGTCTCGAGGAGAAATGGCAAGACCTCCTCGCGAGGGCATCTTTCACAACGTCGTGGCTGTTCAAAACGATGGCCTTCCTCGCACCAAGACGGATGCAAAAGACGCTTCCATAAACTTGGGCCATCTCAGTAAGGGCGATGTGTGGAGAATCTCCCAGTTGGAACAAGTTGCCAATTAGAGGCAAACCGAACGGCCCAGGAGGAGTGTTTCTTCCCCGCACCTTGGACCAGCCAAAGAAAAGTAACACGACGATGAAAGGCAAGCAGCATAGAAAAACTGAATACAGCATTGAGCTCTCTTGGAGGAAAGTGACTTCCATGTTGACTGCGTATAGCTGGGGTAATGGGCTTGTCCTAGTATACTGCACTTTGTTACATCAGTGCAGCATTCTGTGTGGTATTTATACGGTACCTGTTCTGTCTGTAACCTTGGTTGTTTACGAGAACATTTTCCAATGCCAAGGTCGCAAAGTCACACTTGACATGCGCTGTTTGTTTTCCAAACAGGGCGAGCGTGTCTCAGCAGTATGGTTTTGGAGAATAAAACCAAAGCCACTTGAGAATTGAGTAAAAGAACTTCAGTAAATGATATTTGGTTGAAGCATTTATAGAAAAGTACTGTAACTAAGGGTTGCAAAAGTGATTTCGTGATTGTATCCTGCCCTTGCACCCCTTACTCCCACCCCCTGTCCCGTTCGCTACTTTAACTATACCCTATTGTAAGTAAACAATGCAGATACTTCTTCTAATTGGTTTGTTTTGCAGAGTCCACCCTGACTTTGCAGCTATTTGGTAGTGAAGCCCAAACTGTGAGCAGAAGATGCAATTAATCAGTAATAAAGAAGAGAGTGACATTAGTCCATGTCTAAGTTCTTCAGTGACAACTTGTCTTTATCCGTGCCATCCGGCCCATACTGGGTAATTAGTTACACTTGCGTGACTAAATACATGTCTAGTAACCTTGGCTCTCTAAGTAAGGTGACAACGCCGATGGCATTTTACGCGTTGACGAACATCGTCAAAAACGCCGCAGCCGGTGTTTTCATCCAAGGACGTCAGAGGGAAAAGAGGTCTGTTTATGGTCATTTGAGACGGTCCTAGGCATAGCTGAGAGAGAAAGTAAAGGAGAAAGTTGTTTCATTGATTCATCTTTATGCGTTCTTACTGTACAAACTTCAAGTAGAAAGAAGATAAAGTTTGCAAAGTTAAACAATAAAAACAGTATGACATTGGAAACAAATAGACCACGTAACTTTCGTAAACACTTTACAATGATACTGTTGCAAAAAAAGATTTTAATTAGTTGGCAAGATTTAACTTTGAATGGAAAGTGATAATTAACAAAGGTGTAAAACGGAGTATTTCTTCTAATAGACCTCATATTGATTTTCAGAAGATGTACGATTCAAGGTGAGAGTTGAAAGCGATCCTTCATTAACTACTCAATATTATTAGTCGACAAATTTTTCTAACCATTGAGTAATACGGAATATCAATTTTAACCTTGACCGTGGTAATGTAAGAAGAATAGTCATTTGTTTTCCATTAAGATCAACAAAATCATCTCTTTCATGATCATTCAAGCAACAACCGCACTTGATTGGCAATTGACGATCGTACGATGACGATTATAGCTCAGCTCACGAACTGTGCCGCACTGCGTAAGTCCTAGATCTTCCAAACACAGTGCAAACAGTTGGTTTTTGGAGTCGTACTATTCTGAATTAGTTCTGAGCCTCAAATAAAGAACAAAATAGGGTTTATAAGTAACTATAGCAATGGCTGCAAGCTAGAGCGGATATTAATGGAATGCGGTACGCTTTAAATATACAGTACCTCTTGACCACAGAGGAAGTATCGATAATACACAAGAACTGAACGGGGTCTAAATTTGTCAGATGTACATGTATTAATTCCAAGGTCACAGTGACGTGTTAAAATAAGGCAGTATTCGCATAAGTCGTGTTCCACTTGATCTCCTAATTAGAATACTGAGAATCACTAGAAACTGTATGGGAATGTACTTTATTCTGCTCAAACTAAAAAGATAGCTTAGACTTTCATCAACCGTGACTAGAAAAAGGTTATCTTATTCCTTAACCCAGTTTTTCTTGTTTAGACAACTATAGTAAGTTATCAGTTTCCTTCAATAAATACATGGACTGCCCATTCTTTTTGCAGTTATAATATGAGACTAAGTATATATATTTATTACACGTAGGATTCTTTAGTGCTCTGATCCCATTAATGAAATGCATGATCTCATGCTGCAAACATTCGTGAATGTTTGATTTGAGTATTAAAGAGGAGGGCACTGATTTCTTTAAGTTGTGCCCTCAGAACCTTATGAAGTATTTTCACGATAACAAGTTTGAAGCATCTTAAATTAAAAAGATTAGGTATGTGAAACAAAACGCATGACTTAGAAGAACTTGAGCTGCTTGACGTTTGATCCAAGAGGGTTTTTCATTGCTTTTTTTGTCGAACTTAACTGAGTAGAGGAAATGAATGGTGATCGTGAGTCAATCAGAACAGACCGGGGAACATAGGTGCAAAAAACTTCAGGGTTATTTCATTGGCGGTTATTTTTCCACTTGACGCTTGAGCTGTGCGATGTTCTGTTCCAGCCGACAGGCCTCATCGTTCCAGCGTCGGTTGCGGGAGTTGGCCTCTTGCAGCTGGCGTTTCAGTCTGGTCAGCTGAGCTTTGTTACGTTTCTACAAGCATGAAGAGCAAAAGATTTTCAGAATTAGATATTTTTGGGCTCATATGGAGTAATTACTGATGATAGAACTTCAGGGAGACTTTCACAATTCAAAATGTTTGCCGTTGAGAACCGTCAGCCTGTTCGTCAAACGCCTGTACTACGCAGGCTAACCGTTCTTTTAGTTTGGCATGAGGCTTTGGAGACAGTGTCCTTGTATGTTACATCAGTAACCTCTTCCACTGCACATGCAGTTCTAGTAAAAACGTTGGGAAGAGCATGATGGCCGACAGTCGCAAAAAAATCTCTCTCTGATTCCTTCATTCGGAAAGGGACAGACGCCGCTGTATAAACACCCTCCGATCATATAATCATCTTTAAAACAATGTCTAAACGGAATCAACGTGAAACACGTTCTTCGAGTTCATCTTCTTCACAGTATCAACCATCGCCGAAACGCTTGCTCCGCGATGGGACGCCAGGTAAGGACGACCATCACGTCTCACTCGGCAACATTATGGATAAGCTGTGTAACTTGGAATCTCGAATGGAAGACCTCTTCGGCAGTCTAAAATCCGAGTTATCATGTCTTAGACATGAACTCAACGAAGAAATTGAGAAAGTAATGATATGGAAACATCATTGAACGCGGCGTGGGACACAATCAAAGATCTCTAAGATGAACTAAAAATACACGCAGAATTCCGAAAGAAACATAAAGAAAGTTTGGAAAAACACCTCGAGGACAATGGTGTTTCACAAAGCGCTAAAGCAAAAATTGCTCTGCAGGAGAGTCAAATCAACCTTTTAAATACCAAGCTATCCGAGGAACAGGAAAAAATCATCGCACTGGAAAACTACTCTCGCCGAGAGAATCTCCGATTTATGAATATACCGGAGCAAGAACACGAGAACTGCACTGACACCGTTTATGATATCGTCGAGAACGGGTTGAACATAAACACACAGAATATATACTTTCATGCTGTCCACAGAGTCGGTAAGCCACGTTCGCCTGAGGACTCCCATCACCATCCCCGACCCATCATTGCGCGTTTTCTCTGCCGGGAAGATAGGGACCGTGTTCTTAAAGCGAAAGGAAGATTGAGACACTCGACGGATTATCCAGACGCGTATATAACTAAAGACTATGCAAAGGCGATACAGCTTGAAAGAAAGGAACTAATTAAAGCGATGTTCATAGCGCGGAAGAAAGGCATGAGCGCGAAAGTAGTGGACAGAAATCTAGTGATAAATGATAACGTTTATCATGTTGGTAACATACCCGACGAACTTAAACCTGCAGCTGAATCTACACGCTCGTAGAAGTTTTCTTTACTCAGGTCAGTGTAATTCGATTTTTCTCAGTTGCCTTTGCATTAATTGCTATGGCAACCTTTAAGACCGAGACTAGTACTCCACGTTTGCTTCGCCGTTTGCACACAACGGATTCTTTCCTCTTTGTATATTGTTCTAAAGTTAAACTATTTGGCGTTCCGTCCTTTCCGGATCCGTCGATCTTTCTGTTTTGAAGGTATGTTCTCCCTAAGCCGCTTAAATTTTACCTTTTTTTTGTTTTTGTTTATAGTTTTATGTTTCCAGTGTAGCCGTTGTTTTGGTTTTTCGGTCAGTAGAAAATATTTTTCAGTCCTACGAAGTGTTAACTATCGCAATTTGCATTTTGTTTCTGCATTCCAGTTCACTACTTTTAATCATCAACAAGTTCCCAATTGACGAATTGATAATCTGTTCTCTTAATGTGAGGGGCTTATCCAACAACCTTAAGAGGCGAGAAACCTTTCGTTGGCTTAGAATGAAAAAATTTGGAATATTCTTTCTTCAAGAAGTCCACTGCACCAAAGAAAAAGAACGACTGTGGTCATCAGAATGGGGCTTCTCAGCTATTTTTAGTAGTGTTTCTAGCTCAAGTGCAGGGGTATGCATCCTGTTTAACAACAACTTTCAATTCGAAATCAAGAAACAATTTTCTGATCCAGATGGAAGATTTATTTTAGTAGATTTGAAACTTGAAAATAAGACTATAACCTTGGGAAACATTTATGCGCCAAACGATGACAATCCGAATTTTTTTAAAAACGTTCTCAGCCACCTCCTCTCTTTCGAGTGCGAGGACATTATCCTGGGTGGCGATTTTAATCTAGTATTGGACGTCCAAAATGATAAGAAGGGAGGAAGACTGACCACTCACAAAAATTCTTTGAGGGAAGTTCAGAACATAATAAATTCGCTAGACCTTATCGACATTTGGCGGGTCTCCAATCAGGATATCAGAAGATTCATTTGGAGAAGAAGCAAACCCGAAATTCATTGTCGCTTAGACTTTTTCTTGACGAGTAATAGTCTAAGTTCGGCAATTACAAAAGCTGATATTTTACCAGGGTACAAAACAGACCATTCTTTGATAACGCTCCACCTTGCAAACAATACCAATTCCAGGGGCCCAGGCTTCTGGAAGCTAAATACGTCTTTTCTATCAGACTGAAGTTGACAATCACTGAAGTTGCAAATGAATACCAAAATAACACTGAGGTTGATGCCGTGCTCCTCTGGGATACAATGAAGATGCAAATTCGTTCGAAGTCGATACAATACGCAAAACATAAGAGAGGCAAAATGAAGTTAACAGAAACAAATCTGGAGTCTGTCATAACGTCCCTACAGAAGAAACTGGAAGAAAATGACTTATCTGAAACCAGCAAGACCACTATATATAATGAATTAGAAGTTAAAAAATTACAGTTAGAAAACGTTGTCCAGCGTCAAACTCGAGGAGCCATGATAAGATCCAAAGCCCGCGGGCATAACGAAGGAGAAAAAAACACGAAATACTTCTTAAACTTGGAAAAAAGGCATTTTAATACCAAAACCATAAGGCAACTTCAGCTTGAGAATAGTAGCGTCATCAAAACAGATGAGGAAATCTTAACAGAAGCAAAATCTTTCTATCAAAACTTATATTCATCACGCGTGCCTGATATCTCTGCTCACGACGCTTTTTTCTTCTCCGAAGAATCTACGGTAAAACTCGACCAACAGGCGCAGGAAGAATGCGAAGGGCCCTTAACAAAAGAGGAATGCCTAAATAGTCTAAAAACTATGGCATCGGACAAAACTCCTGGGACTGATGGCCTTCCAGCCGAATTTTATAAGGTTTTCTGGGAAGACATTGAAGGCTACTTACTTAGTGCGCTAAATGGTGCATATGAAAAACGATGTTTATCAATTTCTCAAAGAAGAGGTCTAATTACTCTTTTACCAAAAAAGAACAAACCGGCTAACCTTTTAAAGAACTGGAGACCTATAACTCTTCTCAATTGCGACTACAAGATTGCAGCTAAATCCATAGCAAACCACATGAAGAAATTTTTGCCGAACATAATAAATAATGATCAAACCGGTTTTTTGAAAAACAGATTTATAGGAGAAAATATCAGACTTATTGAGAGCATTATTAACCACACAAATATGGAACAAATCCCGGGCCTGTTGTTATTTGTAGATTTTGAAAAAGCCTTCGACAGTATAGAGTGGTCTTTTATAGAGAAAACACTAAGACGCTTTAACTTTGGAACATCCTTGGTAAGCTGGGTTAAACTTTTTTATACGAACATAAGTAGCTGTGTCCTTAACAATGGATGGGCATCCGACTTCTTTTCTTTACATCGTGGAGTAAGACAGGGGTGCCCACTGTCGCCCTATTTATTTATCTTGGGTGCTGAAATCTTGGGTAACGCAGTGAGAAGGGATACAGAAATTCGCGGTATCAAATTGGGTAACTCAGATTGTAAACTGTCCCAATATGCAGATGACACAACAATGATCTTAGATTGCTCAGAACGCTCTTTTTCGAGAACATTATACGTACTAGACATATTTGCAAATGTATCAGGTTTGAAAGCAAACTATGAGAAAACTGAAGCCCTCTGGATAGGTTCACACAAGAATACTAATGCTGTTATTCCTTCGAGTAAACCTATCTTTTGGGCAGAGGGAAAGGTCTACGCCTTAGGAGTTTGGTTCTCGACATCGAGGCCAGCCAATATTGACTATAATTTCACTGAGAAAATCGAAAAGGTTAAAAAAATCCTCGGGAGCTGGTCGGCCAGAAGACTCACACTTATGGGTAAAATTGCCATTCTAAAAGCTCTAGCAGTATCTCAGATTGTTTACGTGTTATCCTCCCTTCCGACACCGAAAGGGGTCACAAAGGAAATTAACGCTCTGTTATACGATTTTCTTTGGGACAATAAAGGGGACAAAATAAAAAGAACAGAAATGATCAACGATTACAGTAAAGGGGGGCTAAAGATGATCGATGTTGCTAGTTTTAACCAGGCCCTAAAAATGAAATGGGTAAAAAGCTATTTAGATGATCAAGATACAGGGAAACGGAAGCTTTTTTTCAATCATCGACTAGCACAATTTGGAGAGAAATTATTTTTCTGGGGAAACTTAAGCCCTAAAGACGTTCGTTTCCTTAATCTGCGAGATCCATTTTTAGCTGAGATTATGGAATATTAGACGACCCTAAATTATAAGGACAACAATCTAGATTTCACGTCAGCTCAGATCTGGCACAACTCCCTCATAAGAATAGAGAACAAACCAATTTTCTATAAATCTTGGTTCACCGCAGGTGTGAAAAATGTTAAAGACATCCTTGACACGGACGGGAAGTCTATATTAAGCTATACATAACTGCATTTATCGCTAAATATAAAATCAAGACTAACTTTCTAGAATTCTATAAGGTAGTATCAGCCGTTAAACTGTTCAGGCAAAAGTGTTCTCAACAACCCAATAGAGGACCCAAAACCAAGACCTTTGGGCAAACATTATTAGCCTCAGAAAAAGCCTGTAAAACCGTTTACAAATCAATTATCGAAAAAAAGGCCACCACCCCTCATAAAAGCCAGGGAAAATGGCTGTCTAAGGAAAATATAATAGGAAATGCGAAAGTGAACTGGGAAAATACATACCGCCTCCCCTTTCTGTGTACAACAAATACAAAGTTACGAGTGTTCCAATTCATGTTCCTCCACAGACGAATAGCAACAAACGACTTCCTCTTTAAAATCGGCCTAAAACAAGCAGACTCCTGTTCTTTCTGCGGGGAATTTACTGAAACCCTTGCCCACTTGTTCTGGTATTGCAGTTACACTCAAAAAGTCTGGAAAGACATTTATCAATGGATAACTCAAAACACCACCTTAAACAAATCCATTGCATTCTCTCCTCTTATCTGTCTTGGACTAATTGATAATATCTCTGATTTATTACTACATCATCTTTTCCTTATCGCCAAACGATATATTTACACATGTAAGTTAAATAACTGCAACCCTGCGCTACAGGTTTATATACAAACCGTTATGAACTCCTTGGAAATTGAAAAAGAGATTGCCTCTAATAATAACAATATGTCCTCCTTCAAAAACAAATGGAGCCCTCTTAAACTTTGCCCCTCGGACAAATAAACTTGCTGTTATTAAATAATTCCAAAAGTTCCAAAAGTTAAAAGTGATGCAGAAACAAATGCAAATGCAAATCACCTTTTAGTTGGTAGGACTGTTTTTGTTGTATCGTGTTTTATTTTGCAATTTTTGCAAATAGTAGTCAATTTTGTAAAATTGTTTTTTAGGCTTAATTAGTTGCAAATGCTGTAACATCGTATTTTTCCTTTATCTCTTGTACCTTGTTTTTATTTTTCCTCCATGTAAATGTAAGTATTGTCATTAGAAGTGTTGTAACCAAATAAATGTTATTATAAAAAAAAAAAAAAAAAAACCTTCAAGAACGAACCTGCATCTTCGCAATTTAGCCTAAATAGGTTAGCACAAATTTGTAGAAAATAATAACATTACTCTAACGTCCCAAGAGTCCCAAGAGCGACCAACATCAACTTTCTCCTAAAGACATTAATACAAAGTCAAAACAACAGGTTATAAGAATTAATAAAATGATCACCTAAAGGTTAATGCTTTGATTTTTAAACAAGGACTTTAACATTGGCAAATTTTAGCCCGACATGCAGGTTCTCCACTTAACACTACAACGTAGGTTCTCACTTACGGGATTTTATTGAATGTACTCGATTTGACTCCTTTCAACCCTTTATCACTCACAAGAGGTGCAAGGGAAATCAATCCCAAAAGAGGTACCAAAATTCATTTTGTAGGTACCGAATATTGCAAAATGATAAGTATAATACAAAAGTATTCAGGTTAATTGGAAAAGTTTGAATTTTAGTAGTTCCACTATGGGGTTCGGTGCAGAATGGGGTTTTATCTAAGGACTCAGAAGTTAGTAGTACAATACATATGTCAATTGTGTCTCCATACTTATGAAGAACTGGAGGAAAGACATGACCACTTCAGCGATGTGCAATTACAAGGCACACGCATAGCCTGAGATCCTGCCATCTCCCTAGTATTATGACATTGTTTCAGTATGTGTCTTTAGCTTCCTTTTCTCCCTATCTGTCCGTTTTTTTTTTCTTTTTTTAAGAAAGCCTTATCACAGGGTAGAAGGCACGTTCACCTCACATTAGACATCTCATTATCTTCCCGAGTATATACATTCATATTGATAGAAAGACTGCAAATAGCATGTTATAGACCGCATGACACATGAAGCTCAAAATTGATCTTTTTTAGGTGCTAATCACAGACAGTTTTGTCCAAATTCGTGACGTCTTCCAACCTGCTTCCCCAGCTTTTATTTACAACATTCTTAACTCTTTGCGAAAAGGGTCGAAGCTTTTGTCATGCAAATTCGTTTTTTGCCTTTTTATTGGAAGTCTGAGTATGAGATATGTAATCCTAAGTATCCACTATTCTAAAGTGCGTTATTTCATTGCGCTGATGTCGTCTCTCAGCTGTTCACGACGAGTTCGTAGTTGATTCGTGCTTTTACGGGTGCCGACGGTAAGCCACTTAACAGTTAAGTCAAAGGCCATCAAAGAATTAAGAAAGGAGTTTTCATCCACTTGAAGGACTACGATAGTTTCTACAACAAATTTAATCTTTTGGCGGAAAGGGTCGAGGCTTCAGTCATGCAAATTCGTTAAGTGCTTTTTATCGAAAGACTGAGAATGTGATACTAAATTTCAAGTAGTGAGTGTTTGTTTGTTTGTTTCTTTTTTTCAGTGTGTTTGCTGATGTTTTTTTTTTTTTTCAGACTTTCACGACGAATTCGAAGTTAATTCGTGCTTTTTCTAGTGTCGACTGACAGCCACTTAAAAACAAAGTGAAAGGTTAAACGTCTTCAATTAAAGTAAGGAGTTTTAATCCATTTGAAGGAATACTGTTTAGATGACTAATCAATTATAGCGTTTAGGGAGTCAAGTTTCCGACCGTAGAAGCCGCCAAACTTACGTGCAGTGTGTCAGTCTCTCTCCTTAGTTGGGTATGCCTCTCATTATCGTTTTGGAGCTGCAGATTTAAAAGAATGGTTGTAGGGTTTTGATGCACTAAAGAAAGCAAACACGCGAAAACAGTAGAGACCTAACAACGAGTCTTAAACTGTGTGTAACAGCGTGAGTAAGTTTAGCAGGGAGGGAGGAAACTGATGCAGTTTGTTCTGATAAATCCAATTTCATAGCAGGGAGGCGATTGAAGTTTTACCTTAAAACTGTACAATTTCGATAGACCTAAACGTCGATATAGCCCTTCTATGTACAAATTCGTTAAACCCTGAATTATAGTCATTCTTATATGCATGACTACGAAAGTTCTTAAGTGCGTAATTAAGCATACTTGTAGCCTGCGAGCAAGCTCTTGACGGGCGAGAACTTACAGTATGCTAACATACTAAAAAAATGCTATTACGGTTTTCAGCTACTGGTAACTCGACCACAAAAAGCTTCAAACGATCGTTCATGTTACCATTCTATAGAAAACAAGGCGATTCGCGCTGCTTCTTGAGATATATAATGAGTGATGCTCAACTTGCCTCTTTTTGTAGGCCTTAATTACAGTAGTTCTGAGCGTTCGTGAGGGAAAAAGAAATCCACTTTCTTCAAACTAATTTTGAAATCCTAAAAGTTTCACACAGAAATCAAGCCTAGTAAATTTCCTGCAAAAAGAAAAACGGAGTGAAGAAAAGTGAAAGATGCGGGGGAGGAAAGTGAAGGTTAATGGCAATGTCAATTTGCCCTTTACGCATGCCGGAACTTTTGGAAACTGTAATTTAGCATCGTTAACGAGGCTCTTGAAACGAGATTGCACCAAGAGAAATGCAAGGTATGGGTTTAATTTTAAACAAGGGTGTGGGCCGTTTCGGTTCTTTTGGGTCTGAATTTGACCAGAAGACGAATGGTTTTTTTTTTCAAACGTTGCTTTTGGGCAAAATTTCCAAGGGGGATGGGTTAAATGTTAATTCCAGGCTGGGGAGAATAATTCATTATAAATTGGTTTATACCAACCTCAGCTTGTTTTAACACAATTGTTTCCTCCAAACACTTTTGGCGGTTTCTAAGCTGAAATATTTCAGCCTGTATGCTTTTAAGGATGGAATCGTCTCCCAAACGACGTAAGAGCTCCACTACAAAATTGACCAAAAGAGAACAACTTACTTAACAGAGGTGTTAATAATCACAATGATCATAATCAAAACAAAACAAAAAAAAAGAACAACTGAACGACTTTGAATCGCATCCACATCAACGGTTTTACACAAAAACTGTAAAAGACAAGGGCCCGGTTGTTGGAAGGGCGCTTAGTGCTAACCCGGGGTTAAAATTTAAACTGGGTTTCTTTTTCTTTTATTCAAAAGCATTTTCTCGGATAATTTTCTCTATTCCAATCATCAAATTGTGGACAAAACGAAAAAAACTGAATTGGCTTTTTATGTTTTCATATCTGAATTCAAATTTTGCACTAACCCTGGGTTATCTTAACCAAACTTTGAACAATCCGGGCAAGGTTTATTTTTTTGTCTTCTGTGAGTGAAAATATGTGACGTTATCGACATTCCAGTCCTGTACAGAGTGATTGTCAGATGCACAAAGTAAGCCATAAAACTCTCACATTCATTGTCATTCTGATGACAATAAAAATTCATCCTTATATCAGTGGTTTCGCTCTTAGCCTCGCTTTGAACAGAGGCTTGGGGCAACACAGATTGTCCTATTAATAATTGTTTTATAGGTTTCTTCGAAACCACCGATAACTCAATGGTAGAGAATCTGGGTAAGCAACTAGAGGGGGATAGGGGACTCGTATTTTTTCCTTCCGAGTCGCCTGCGTCACTGTGTGAAAAACCTCAATTCTCATGAAGTATAAATAAAGTAAGGCATACATTCCTCTGTCAAATTGGCGTTCGTGTCTCTTTGTTTTGCAATATTCAGATTAATGGGAGCATTCATCTCGTGCAGTTCCACTTTCTTTGCATGCTCTGACATTTTTGCTCGGTATGTCTTGTGTGTTCTGCAAAAATTAAAAGATGAAAGGTTACAAAAGCATTTCTTTTGCTGCCTTAGGATGGAAAAACATCTTTTTGCGCGAACTCTAATTTCTAGCCCTCTTTTACTCTTAATTTTAACAGTATGGTGGAAGAAACCAGGTTGTGTTTATTCTCAATTAAACGTATATTCGTGGTTCAGTTTTTCAATTTTATGCTTGGTCAAAAATCTGTTTCCTTTGTTTTAAACTTATCATCATACATTACCTTACCAAAAACAAAAAAGTTTACTCTTGCTTACTCTCTTTCTCTCTTTTGTTTCTCCTTTGCAATCGTCAGTTGGTGGGCAAGGTTTTCCCCAGAGGAGATAAGTGCGTCTATCTCTGAGACAATCCGGAAAGCACACAAAATTACTTATAGGTTGTTCATAGAGCTAATATGCCACGTAAGGAACTGTTGGAACTGATGCACAGGCAACGTTTCAAAGTTCAGCTAGGTAGATATTTAAAAGTTTGGATAGTTATTAAAATGTGTAAGGAAACTCTTAAAATAGAATACGCTTTTAAATTAAATTTTAAATTATGTTTTTGAATGTATACCAAACTGTTTTCTAGCTATGCATTGCGATGAAATAGCTTGGCAGTGATTTCTTGTGGCACATGCCCGTAACAGACCGAATAGTGGTCATATGTAGATATTGTGCTGATTCAGGAGCCTATCATCTGGCTGATTTTGATACATAAATGTAACAACCATAACACTAGTAATAATAAGAAATTAGTGAGGAGAGTTCGATACGGAAGCGACGGGCGGGGTACTTTAAGAATCCTTGGATGGGAAGGTCCCTGAAACCCTTGGCTTATATAGCACATCAGGATCAGCTGAAATTGTGCCAAACATATGTTACACTCCACTGCGTTAGCTCTTGGGGCAAGTTCTTGTGTGTGTCCAAACCTAATTATCGTGGCCTCCCCAAGCAATGCCCCGCGTTTAGGAACATTGGCACTGTTTAAATTAACCTGAGATCAGGCTCTATTTTCGTTTCGATTTGTAAATAACATTCCGGCGGGCATGGCGAAACGAAAAGAGAGCCCCAATTTTAACGGTAGCCGGTAGAGAGAATGTATGAAAACCGCTCAAATTGGGCCTGATCTCAGGTTATGTTTAAATACTCGGGTATTGTTAGAGTACTAAGAAAACTACAAGCTCAGATATCAAAGTAGCTTTTTTTCAAATCACTTTACCAGAACCTGTGTCGAAAGACCAAACTGCTAAAGATTATACAATGGCTTAAAAGTGCCGCGTAACATATCGCTGTCTTTTTTAAAATAGCTCTCTACAAAATACCGTAAAATTCCGAAAATAAGCCCCTCCATGTTTAAGCCCCTCTAAATATAAGCCCCCAAGCAGGTAACGCAAAAAAACCTTCGTTAAATTGCCCCTCCAAACATAAGCCCCCCGGGGCTTGTACTTGGAAAATTGCCCTCGAAATACAAAGTAAAACAAAGCAAAAACGTTAAATTTACTTCCAACTATAAGGCTAGCCCTATCGATTTTGAAATGCAAATTTCCCTCCGCAGATAAGCCCCTCCGAATATAAGCCCCTCCAAAAATAGGCCCCTCAAAATTAAAAGGGCCTTTGAAAAATATAAGCCCCTGGGCTTATTTTCGGAATAGACCTTGTCACGGTTTTCGACGCCATCTTGACGAGTAGGCAAACGCGTTAGAAATTACAGTGTTTGTATGAGAATCTAATGTCGAATAATTTCCGCATAACGGCTTTTCTGAAAAAAATATAAATTGTAAACTAAAGCTACAAAGCAAAAGATTTTAATAAAAAATTTTGGGGGCGTATCTGTGCTTAAATTACTACAGAAGCTTGCTTTAGATTTTCCATATATTTGTCTGTAATTTTTCCCGGGAATTTCTAACAGACAAATGTATAGAAAATTTAAAAACGTGGCTGTAGGTCTTCTAGTGCATAAAACGCCCTAATTTTTTTTCAGTAGAGTCCTTAGGAGTGAAGCTTTAGTTTACAGTTCATTTTTTTTTTTCAGAACAGCCGTTCTACGGAAATTATTCGACATTGGATTCTCATACAAACACTGTAATTTCTCACGCGTTTGCCTACTCGTCAAGATGGCGTCAAAAACCGTGACAAGGGGCGCTTTCCATTTACGAAAAAAAACCGGAAATTTCGGTGGTAGCAAAAGTGGAATTTCCGATCGGTAAAAAGTTGTTCCATTTGGTCGTAAAGCTCGGTGCGTGGCCGGGTGCCCGACCGTGGACCTGGAACTGCTACAAACTACAAGAAACGTCAATGGAACACGACATTCCGTTCGGAAATTCCAACCGGGAAAACGGGACTACCTTTTTCGATTTTCCACTTTTTCTGGGAATTTTCCAGTGGGACGAACCGACGAAACGTGTTCCATTTACCGCCGAACCGGAATTTCCGGAAATTTTGACTAAATGGAAAGCGCCCAAGGTCTATTTACTGTATTAAATCTATACCGCTTTTTAATATACACTGTTTGCCGTACATTTCCTGGGAATGCTGCAGTAAAACCCCCTGAAAACCTACACGTGTGCAAAAATGAAACTGAGGGGCTTCCAGTATTTATACTTTTCGTCGTTTCAACAAACTAACCTTTCTTAAGTGCCTGGCAGTTTTCTTTCTTTCTTGAAACATCATCTTCTGTCAAATAAACTTTTCTCGAAACGGCAGCAACCTCAGCTTTAACTGCATTTATCTTTAACTGAACTAATTTGAAAAGAAAGGAGAACGAAGAATTCTAACTTTACTGGCTGCTTGGAAAGCTCTTTTAATAGCTAATTGGCCGTGCAGTTTTTAAAAGCTATTGTGTGCTGAAATAAATTTAAAAACAGTTTCACCTAAATAATTCACAATGGACGAGTTTTGGTAAAGTACTGAGTGATGCATGCTTACCTTGAAGGTTTTTCTCCTTCCGGCGATGCGAGTTCATGTATGTATTAGAAAATGAAAAAAGAAAACCGAATCGTGAATTTAGCTTATGTTAAACTCATATCTACTGTTTTTCTAATGTCATGAAAAGTTAGACAGTCTTGTACAATTTACCTTAAGCTGATCTAGAACTTCTTGCCTTTTGCTCAAGTCGTTGATTTGTTGCTTTTGAGCTACAGCAACTTCACCAGCTAATGCTGGCAAGCTGAGAATTTCCCTTGAACTCAAGCTTAATTCGCCATTTTGTTCGGAAAAATCTTCATCACCTTTGCTCTCTAAAGCTTCATCTTCAACTGTATTCGGCAATAAACAATTCACTATTCGAGTTGGTTTCGGAGGACTGGTCATTTCCATCGTTAACACGTAAAATGAAGTTGATTTTCCAAAATGCTCAGTAAAAGCTTGACACATACTCCACTTACAAGTCTCATTTTCGTGAAAAAGTAGCGAAATTGGAAAACGGACGGTAGCTTGACGCGATTTCCCGCCAAAACAGCTTGCGGTGCGCCTCCATCCTCGATTCCACCAATCACCTGTTTGCATACTTTTCTAATCTCAGGAAAACTCAGGAACTCATTTCTACAGGTTCAATATTGCAAGAAGAATGTATACGATCGAACCGCCATGACCATCTCTCCACAACGGCCACCTGACATATGGACAACGACCTCTTTCTTTTGTCCCGGCGGACATGCAGTCCATACATTGACTCCTATTAAAGCTTCTCTACAACGGCCACCTCTCTACAACATCAACGGCCACTATAAAGCTCATCACCAACTGCCAAAAAAAACCTCTCGACAACCGCCAGTTTTTCAGCAACTGACGAAAAAGTCAAGAATGGTCATGAAATTTGATCCGCATGGCGCGTTGTTGATTAATCGCAGCAACTGTTTTTTGATTGTGTTCCATTTATAAGGCTGCATGCAGTAAGCATAAATTATCTACGATACCTATGACGAATGTTGCCAATCTTGCTCCTTTTGTCACGTTAACATTTTGATTTTAAATTAAGACATTATTCAAGTTTTTTTTGTGTATTTTATCTCTTTAATTATCATATAGCATGCAGCTACAATCAGCGAAAAAAATTAGCTAAGACAATTTGCCCTAAAGGGCGTCTTTACCATTTCTCCAACTTAAAAAACAGAAAATAAAACTTTCTCTCCCTCACCCCCTCGATGTAATGTTGTGCCACTGTACGAACTACCTGTAGCTGAGAACAAAAAACACCCCAACTTTGAATGTAGGGGAGAAGGGAGGGGTATTGGTTTCTTCTCTGAAGTTACCCCAATTTTGTCACCGATTGTTGTTGCACAGGCGTTCGCACTTTTTTGCTGAAAGTGCATACTTCCCGTCTGCCTTTTAACATTTCTTTGTTGTGTTTATGTAGTTTGTTTTTTCTTTTTGTTGATCTTTGACATTTAATCCCAGCGTCGAGGCCATGTTGGTTGAGTTCGTTGTTGGTTCTCTCCTGTACTCCGAGTACTCCCGTTTTTCCTCCCCTTAAAAACCAACATTTTCAAATTCCAATTCGACCAGGAATCAGGTAGACGAAGAACCACTTAGTGGATGTACTACTTCTAAATCGTTATTTATATGTAATTCTTTTCTTGCAGTTGTTGCGTCCGGGATGGTAGTGGTGTGCAAACAGTGCAACAATTCCCAACAACGTTGGGACCTGCAGTGAATCGTGGAAAGTATACAACCCATAAGACTTTGGAGACCATGTGTAATGCGCGTGCGGGGCCCAAAAATGTTGGAACAGCTGTGCAAACGAATCCAACATTGTTGTAACCCGCAGTGCAGGCGTTTTCATCGGGCGCGCGAACGTTTTGCTCGCTAAAGCGCATGTTGAAACTCCAAAAGAGGGGAGAAAATGGGGCGAGTCAAACGGAGCGGGGTAGGGGGCAGGAAAAGAGAAGAGAAAACGCGTATTTTTTCCCCCCTCCCCCCTTTCCTTCTTCCCTCCTAGCACCTACCCTTAGGGTTACTATTTTTACTCTCCCTAATCTTCCTCCGTCATAACAAAGATGGCGGTTATAACAGTACGAACATAAGCAAGCAACTTTCGCCCGCCCAAAATACGCCCGCACTGCAGGCTAACATTGTTGCGCTACGCTTCGGCGATCATGGAACAAAAGAAATGTTGGGAGTTGTTGGCTCAAAAGTTTGACTGCGCACCAACACCCAACAACATGTAACACCAGGCTTTACCTAACGCCTTGAGACTCATCTCAGGTATATCTGTACTAAAATATGGCTTTGCGTTTCATCGTTGTCGAATCAAACAAGAGTCTTGGCAGTATTAACTTCATATTCAGTAATACTTATTAATATTACAGGGTTTACACCATTATAAAAACACAATTTTTTCATTTGCTAATTGTCTTTGATTTCCTCAGAAGTCAGTCCTTCCAGTCTATCAAAAAGCTTACATAAATATTGCTTATGATACTCGCCTATAATTAATGTTAACTTTTCACCTTCAAAATATATTATTGTCCTCTTAATCTTCCATTGCCTTCCAAAAATCTCTTACAGTTTTTCACCTATATTTCTCCCATTTAAACATAAAATTAACGATCTCAGACCTGGTTTACAGGGGTCCGGCAAAATCAGTTTTGAACGCACAAAAACTTGCACGAATCCGCGTCTTGTTTGCACTGGACCGCAGAACCATGCGAATTTTTCACCTGATCAGAAGGATTCGTGTAAGCAGTGCTGCAATCCTGTAACAAATTTAAACGGTTCCGTGCTAACAGGTCGCACAGGTAAAAAATTCGTCCGTTCAAAAATTTGCCCGGAACCTTGTAAACCTGTCTCAAACTCTCAACAATCTCGAAATCCATCATGGCATGAAATTATGTTCTTAAACGCGTCCACAAATCATAAAAAGACCACCAGAAAGCCGCGATGCATGAGACGCAATAATAATTTGGAATGTTTCTTTGAGCTATAGATGGTTTGACTGGTTTGAGAAGCTAAATCAAACACGAAAAAGGGTTCTCAGTTAAAAATCTGGCTGACATCTGAAATCAGTTCCCCTGTTCAAGGAAAATAGACCAACAGGCACTTCCTTACACCGCGACTTTTTCAATTCAATATTCGTTGTTATTTGTCATTTACAATATACGTTAAAATAGCTGTACATTTATTGTTCAGGGGATGCTTACCAATTACACAAACCACCCGGGTGAAGAATCTAGTGCAAAAAATAAAACTATAAAATTTGACATGGTGGGAGAACGACCCGCTACAATGTATGAAATATTCAAAGCAGCAAAACAGATTAAAAAAGAGTAGCAAAATGGCATGGCCTAAAATGCTGAATCTCTTCAAAAGGAATGGTACGAACCATTGGATTTTCCAACCACAATTTCCGGATTTCCCATGTAAGTGATAAGCACCCAAGGACTTTCAAAAATGAGGAGATAAAGTTAAGTTTGCAGATTTCATTGTATAAAAAGAATTTTAAAGAGACGAAAGGGTTAAGAATCTGAATCAAAAGTAGCCTGTGTACAGACTCCCCCTCCTCTCTTAAATGGCCCAAACAGGCAAATTTGACTTCAAAGTAACCCCTACATCGCCAAACCCAGCATATAAAAAAGAAACGTAGAAAATGCGAACACCGTTGAGTGCTTGAAATAAGAGAAAATTCTAATACAAATTTCTTCGCTGTTTCAAAACAAATATGTCGTGAGGCTATTCAAAACAAAACTACTATGTAGTTGTTCATTTGGGTGACTTTCATTATGCTTTAGCTCTAATTTTAGAGTAAGTGGAACAAATCTCTGAGTAAAACCATCCAATTACAATTGTACAATAGTAAAGGGCGCTTTCGACTAGGACATCTGGATTTAGATTAAGAAATCCGGATTTTGGATTTACATTAATACATGAAAACCAAATACTGATTTCAAAGACGAGAACTTCGTGGATGTCCGCTGTTCAAGAGAAAAGTTTTGCAATTCCTAATTTCGGATTTCCTAAAAAAAACAAATCAGGAATTGGATTTCTTAGATGAAATCCACCAGCTTGGTGACGGATTTCGTGTTTCATTGCAAAATCCGAAATATCCATTTCAAAACTTAATCTACATCCAAATTTCCCAATCGAATGCACCCCAAATCTAAAATTGTCGCAAGTGGAAATTCAATTTGGAACACAGAAAAACAAATAAATTCTCTGAGGCTAAAAGTTATCCTAATTTCCTGTGAAACTATTGTTTCCTCTTCTGCCACAATTCACATGGTGCTGAATTTTAGTACTGAAGAAGAAATAGGGTAATCATTCTGTCCGCAAGCCAACAAGGACTGGTTTCTAACATTTAAAAATCTCTTGGTCCATTGCCGCGATAAAGCCATGGACTCAGCCTGGCGGATCATACTGGCACGGCATTGATATGCAGATAATTACACGTCAGGTGATAATTATTTGCCCACTGATATTCTGAGATGCTTGATTAATTCTCTGCCTTCAAGGAGAAGCTTTGAATTCCTTGCTGCCATTTAACTCCATACTGAACGATTTCCAGACTGGCTTCCTTTAGTTCCACCTGTCAAGACTGATACATTACCAAGGCACTCATACGCATTGTGCTTGGCCGATTACTGCTGATTCACATGGTTATGGACTTGTCCTTACAGGCGTTTTGACAGAAAGAGCTGATTTTACGGAGAAATTTCGGGTATTCTCGTTTAGAAACTGCACGTACAACTGAAGGTGGAGCCCAGCCTCCGGGATTAACTATGGAAAAAATAAAGAGGAATGCAGGTTTATCACAATTTTATATATGAATCTTTTCTCTCTTCCTTCCGTTTTCTTTGCGCGCACGGTCCGGCCCTACTATCCGAGTAATACTTAATTTCTCCAATCAAACACTGATACCAACTAAACGTGGGTAATTTGGATTAACTCTGCATCTATTCAAAACTTGAACTTAAAATTGAACGTACGACTGTGTAGCGCATTTATGAAGGCCTACAAAAATCCTATCAGCTACCTGCGAGGTAAATTCGGTTTTGCGAGGTGAGTACTTTCACCACTGTGTCATCCTTGCTCAGTTCATAATATTCCAAAATTGTAAATTTTACGTCGATCTGTAATGTCACCTGTGTCCAGAAATGCAAGAAAACTCGGAACTTAAAGAGCGTGACTCTCATTAACTTGCAATCCTCGACATCACAGCAGCAGGTTTGAGATGTGCTCGTTATCACAAAAGATTTGACAAGGATCTGCTCAAGATGCGCTTTTACCAACCTATGAATATTTGTACCATTTAACACTCAGTGATAATAACATGGTCTTACCATTGGCAGTGTAGGTAATTTTGCAGGATATGTGGTGTCGATTAAGCTTCATTCCTTCTTCTCTGGGTTCAATTAATGTTTGACAAAATAAGCTCACCACGGCAACTGCCCGAATGTACTTGTTTGTCTAATAAAAAAGTGCAAGATATTGATAAAATATGTCATTGTAGTGTATTATGTAGGGATATTTAACAATTATTCCTCGAACCCGAATGGGCTAACAGAAAGTTTTAGATCCGAGTTTACCGCGAACCTCTAACCGCTGGAGGTCACGTGACAGGTCTTTCGCGTCACGTCTGAGGTTTACGACGTGCGTTTTCAACGTGGGGAGGTAGGTTTTCACGTATGTCATTTACCTGAAAGCTTTTAGCGTATAATTCTTGTTTCATCCCACGTAATGATACAAAAAACTTGTGGAGCAAGTATTTATCCATTAACAGAGGCACAAATTCGGGCGAAATGCTAAATTTTATAAATCCTATTGGATCTTGAAAACAAGTGCCATTCATCTAGTTCAAAATGGCGTAATTTAATGCTGGTTCAAAATGGCGGTAACTGCAAACCGCGGTTAAGGTTTAATCCTAAACCGCCAGAGGCCATGAGGGTGAGAGGAATAATTGTTTTAGTAAAATCCACCTAGTTGGTCTAAAAAATCGACAAAACAACTTTAGCCAGCAAAATTATGTTTGAACGTCGAATCGCAAACGGGTAACTGCAAACCGCGGTTAGACCAGGTTCTTTAATACTAAACTGTGATTATGCGGTAAAACTGCGGTTCGAAAAGAAAGTTGAACAAATAAAAAAGATCTTTAACAGTCGTCTATTTTAGGGTATGAAACCATATAATTTCACTTGATCAAACTTAATTTTGGTATTTCATTCTCCAACGACAGGCTTGCACCATAGTATTAATCAATCAATCAATCAATCTAATTTGGTCGTGTATATTAAATGCTTTTCTTGTCCCTTATGCTACATCTGATGTCTAAAAAGAGTTTAACAGTCGTCTTTATAGCTTTACGAACGAAGCAGGAAAGAATTTTGTTGTTGCTCACATGTAAAGGGGAGCTTCTGAAGTGAACGAGTATTGTTAACTACTTAAATTTTGTTAGCTAAGCTTACTTATGTTTAAAAACTCATTATGGTTTGTAGAAAGGGCTAATGTAACCTAAAACCACTACATACCGGTGCATCTGGATGATCTATAGAATAGTTGCACACAATCCATGGTCGGCCCACTTCATTCTCTTGTCTCTCACCAGCATCATATGCTGAAATCTCACGGATATGTGAGAGGAACACTGTGTCCCTTTGGGAGGATGGCCAAACTCGTTTATAAATTTGATGTATAATTAATGTACTGTCACTAAGTTGTTCCAATACCTTTGTGGACTCTAAAGTAGCTTTGAAAGAACAAAAAAATGTTGTTTAACAAAATGAGAAAGTTATGAACAAGTGCATTGTGAAGTAAAAGCAGAGTAACTTTATATTAATGGCAGCTTGGCTTAGTCATATGCATAGCATTGTATTTCTCTTTATTCCATAAACTGCCACAATTATAAGCCCTGCTCCCCCACCACCACTTAAAATCCCTCCCAGTTTCAGGCTATCTGTACACCAAAAAAATGCATCCGATTAAATCAGCCCCCCTCCAAATATATTGACATGAATTCGATTTATAAGGACGTTTTGAAGGTTAATCAAAAACCATTATCATTCATTCAAAATATTTCCCCGATTCTGATTGGCTAAAAGCACACGTATAATTCACCATAACCAGTTACTGATGACCAAATTTGAAAGAATTTTGTGTTTAACGAGGAAATGACGCCAAAAATGCAGCGTTTTTGCAGGTTAAGGCACTGTTAACCGAGAAGACCTGGGGACGAGGTTGAGTTGTTTTGGTTGTGAAAACAAAAAATGGCAGATACTCGTTTCAAGAGTAAGAACTAGGCGAAATTATAGCTAAAAACATGGCAAGAACAGCAAGAACACAACTCGAAGGGTGACATCTGCTATTTGGAGAACATTTGCGGAGCTGAAAAACCCTAAACGTGCACTATCGAAGGTGAGCTTAACATCGATGGAGGTAAGCATGTTTTAGCTTTGTGTTTAAACTAGGAATTATTTTGAATGAATAACAGAACAATAATTATTGAATTCGGCTTTCGTATCATATCAAGAATTATGAAGATCTCGGAGGGTGTTATCGATAACACCCTCCTCGATCTCCATAATTCTTCATAAGATACTCAGCCTCATTCAAAAATTGTTAAGTAAATGAAAAATGTATTTTGATCTGCACTGCTGTAGTGTGTTCTGAAGCGTTTTTTCATTCCGGTTATGATCATCCCAGGATAAAAGCCTTCCCAGGGCTGATTATCACCGGTTTTATTCCACATTTATCATATTGAAACAGGAAAAAATAATATCAGTGCAACATACATTCCCAGTCCATGCGAACATCTTTGTCATAGAAGTAGTGGGCCATTTCTCTTGCTGTGACACCCTGTAATTCAAACAGAACCAACGTTTCAGATTGGACAACATCTGGCAAAAACAAAAGACTTAACAAAGAGGTACCAACCTTGTTCCCAGGTTCCTCTCCTACTCTTCCACCGAGAGGCCCCTGAGAATGAGATTGACAGCTTTAAATCCTGTTTTGAAGTAAGTTTACCTTAACAGTATGTGTAGCTTTCATAGGATCAAGGACAATTCCTCCTTCTTCATAATCACGACGGTATACCTAATAACAAATCAAAATAAATTACTTAAGATTAACCTTTCCTGTCTAATAGTGACCAAAGAAAATATAACAAAAGGCCAAAAATTTTTTTTTGAAAAATCCTATGAAATAAAAGGTAACACCATGGGATTTACTGCAGTTTATGGGCATGGTGTAACAGGCTTATTGATCAGCATCTTTTAAGTGTACGAAGACTTTAACATGAACTGATCAACGTTTCAAATTTAGTATTGTACTTGTCATGTGAAAAACATCTTGAATACTGTTTAACGTATGTAACATTACTGAAACATGAAAACAGTTTGAATTAACTTTTCAGAATGGTATCTCATCTATGCCAACAGATAACCAAGTCCATGTGACAAAAAAGCTGAAATCTCTGATATTGAAGCCTCAATTCAATTTCCACATAAAATTTTCCAGACTGAACTTGATAGATTTCCTTAAGCAATTAGCTGAGAGAATGTGATTCATGATCAAAGCATTTTCCCTTTTGTAATCATTTCATTAATATTATTCTTAAACTAATTTCTCTTGATTGTGTATTGATATTGTAACGAGAAAAAGGATATCCTAAGTGATGTTGGTCATTCTTGTAGCTTAAAAGTTTATAGCAGCCCAGACCTTCATTTCTCCATCTTCGTAAACCAAGTTCCAGTTGTCGTCCACATTTTCTAAAACAATCTGGAGACATTCCTTGACATTCTTGTTAACCTACAAATTAAAATCAGTGCAGCACAATAAGAACAACTAAATAGAAAATGTACGCTTTGCAATAAGTTATTATATCATGTAGAATGGTGATTTTTTTCCTTACTTTGTGTAATAATTACACAATTGAGTGAATTACAATTATTGAGTGAAGCCTTTCACACAAAAACCCGATGTGACATGCTTAAGTGCTTAGATTTTACCAAAAAAAAAATGGAAAAAAGGGCAACTTGTACAGGTAGGAGTGGGGTTAGAGTACAGTGTAAGCAGTGAGGTTTGTCATTCTAACATGAACTTTAAAGTGATAATTATGATGTTCATGTCGGCATATGTCTTTACCTCTGCTTTTAATCTGTGATCAGGTTCTTCTTCAGTTAGTTCTGATGGAGGCACAAATGTACTTCCTTGAAAATCCTCCTGCAATGTTAATTTCAACCAAAATAAAGATGTTACTAGTTCAAAACATATTCCCCAGTAGCTGAATGATTAAATTTCACAGCAAATTCAATAATAGACAAATACTTTCAGTGGATGGGGGAGGGCGATTTCTAGAAAACTCTCAATTCTAGAAACTTCAAATGACAGTTTTGTCCTTTATACAAGTATACTAGTAAAGGTACTGGGAGTGCAGGTGACAAAGATAATGTCAAAATACTTTTCCCCCATTGCTGTGATTTGCATGAGTTTCACGTGATAGATGTTTAAAACATGGTTAAACCATGCGTGATCAGATTATGAGTGGTAGAAGGTCCAAATGCACATGACCAGATTGCGTTCTGTGCACTTTATTCATTCTTGGTGGAAGTCCAAACGAAGTTGGCTACATACGTGCCATAAACGCGTAATAGCAACCTGGAGATTAGGATTGCGGTCTCCCCTTGTCGCCAGCAATCAGACAGTCTTACCAAAGCATCCACCTCATCCTGTCGATCAAGAGCTACTTCTATTGCATCATAAAATTCTTCTTCATTTAAAACACTGTGAGGCCCTTCCTGTAAGCATCAAATAGATGACAACAAATCTACATAAGACTTAATATCAGTAAATGACTCTTTACCTTTCCTAGTCCAAAAAAGATTAAAATAATGCCTGACATCAATTTATGAACATTCAAGTGTTACTCAATATATTACAGCTCAGTCTATTTCTGGATGCATTAACACTCTCTATGAAAATCTAGTACCGGTAACTGAATACATAACAGCAGTTTAAGTTCCTACACAGATTTGAAGAGGTTGCTTTAATGCAAGCTATTTACACATTAATACAATGTGATTACCTCAAAGTCTGGCCCTCCAATAAATGCTTGCTTCCTAGCATTTATAACTGCTGTTTTGACTGCTGCCTCTGCCTTCTTACGTTTCTCTATTTCCTAAATAAAAACAAACACAGCTTTTATACACCACTGTATCTTGCGAACCAAGCAGCATACTGAAAAACAAAACAACAACAACAACAAAATACAAACAAACAAAAAAGAGTAGATTTACAAGTATACAGGCAGTCACACCTCAATAAACTAGACCTTCGTTAACTGAGGCTGTATCGGGACTTTTTCCTCTGGTTCCAAATGTTTAACATGAATAAATTATATTAGTCAAAATTAAGGTCCAATATTGAAGTACAGTGGAACCCTGCTCTACAGAAAATTAAATACAGTGCATGCATGTCTATTTGTCTGGTAAAAAGAAACACTGAAGTAATGGCACCTTGTCTAATCTCCTTTGCCAATGGTCTTCTCTCTTATTCATGATATCAATGCAATGTTGAAGTGTTGCTAGGATCCCCGCAGTAGTAGCTTTGAAGGTTATCGATTCCCCCCTGAAATCAACCCCCTTGGCATTTGCAATGGAGAGCTTTGCTGCTGAATTGTCAAAGCTGTCGGAAGTTGCTCTCCTGTTGCCACGGTTACCAATTACTTGATTGAAAGTGGCAGGTGTGGGAGTAGTTGAAAGTTCCTCCATTTCGTCATCTGCATCATGATCCACTGTAAATACCGAAATACAGAGGGATTGTAATGTTACCAGTATATGTGATATATAGTGAACTAGAAAATGATGTAAGATGGAATTCTACCCAGCTCTTAATTTAATTTTAATTTTTTTCATGATTTCTGTGAGATTCCTGAAAATGGGCAAACATAGTGATTTTCAAATTAGTTCCTTCCAAGTAGTAGATGCAGGAGGAATTTTACCGTTTAACAGAAAAACTGAAAAATATTTTCAAAAATTTTATATGCAGGTTTTGGAGGACGCTGTCACAAAATTACAGACCATGTTTCAACAGTCATAACTTGATCCCTGTTCAACTTTAGAGCACCAAACTTTGTCAAATAACCAGTCTCAACATGACCTTTTATGTTCAGGGCGGAAAAACGTATTGAGCATGCGTGAACTTTTTGCCCAGATCCCCTGGCCGGGTTTGAAAAAAGGCGGGATTTCAAATATTTTATTGCCTAAAAATAAATTATTTCCACTCATAACCTGGAAAGAACAGGCAGTTTGTTTTCAAAAGTTGCAAGCTGTGGTTATAACCTTGTCGTTACTTAATTTTCTCGAAGAATACCTCATAGTAAAACGGACTTTAACGACATTAATTTCCTTGCATTGTACTGGAAATGTGCATGCGTAGGTCCGATTTTTTTCAAGATGCATTCACAAAATGTGTTCATATAAGGAAGTTCCTGGATATATAAGGTCCGGAGCTCCACTGTGGACACAAAAACAGCATATCTTTCGACAGTGATTTGCCCAAAAAAATTAATGCTTGCCCACAATGTGTTTGAAGTCACTGAACTTTGTCGCACTCGAGCTGATATTTTAAAACCCTAGCTCGATCAGACACTTGTAGTTTCGCAGATCACTATTAAAAATATAAACAAAATCCTCAATGTAGAAGTTATTGCTTTGATATGTGGGCAGAAAAAAGGTCAATCTTAATCTAGTAAAATCTTCCCAAAAATCGGTTTCAAAGCAACTATAGTTCTTTAAACTTGCTCGTTTTGCGCAGATATATAAATTTTGCTTTGTGTTGTCAAGTTGAACACGCATAACATCTGTCAGAAACCAACGTGTAAATAGGATTTCCTTCAAACAAACTTAAAGTTACATTATTTCAAAAACTTCTTGCTGACAATGAAGAATTTTCTGTACGAAAACAACCTACCTAAAGATCTTAAAAGCGAAAGATCAGTTGCAACTTGGCAGCCAAGCCATGATTCACCATTTAGCTATTTTCAATAAGCTTGACTGGTCCATGCAGGGTCTTCGTTTAAGCAAATTAAACTCAGCCGATCATTAGAAAATACAGAAAATTGCACATAAGGGTTTGTTTTGCTCACCTCAGTCAAATCAAGCTGCAGTAATTGTTTACGGGAAAAGAGTCAATTGTTTTGAAGTCACTGCCGGCAGTTGTCGTTCTCTACTTCACAGCGAGTGAAAAGGACAATTTGCGTACAGAAAGTTATTCTTATAAAGAACAGAAACTTTCACAGCGCACTGGAAGACAAAACTATGTAATTAAAAATGAAAAAAACTCTGACTATTATTACTTGAGCAACAGAAAAATGATCTTGAGTAAGCTTGCTGGCTTTCTATTTCCAAGAAAGTTTAATAAGCGCACAAGTTTGTTTACTCTGATGCATTATAACAGTAATATGGTTCTTTGACTGAAGACAAAGATAAAGCTGGTTCTGCAAAGGTAATAAATCTGGGGATGTAAAAAAAGTAACCGTAACTACTAATAACAGAATACCAGCGGGTTTTAATTGAACCCGGCGAAATCAACTCATAAATTAATCGGATGCACAATCAGAAAAATACTCGCCTCTTGAGAAATGTTCAAAACCTTTTATTCCACCTCAGACTGACGGAATGATCGGTTTTCCCTTTAACAAAAGGTTGTTCTGAATCCAAAATAATTTTCAAGCGACGAAAAAAAGCAAACATGTCAAGTAAAAATGCTTTGCAGAGAGCAGACGTTCGCACCTCGTGCATTTCACTCAGAACTCTCGCAACAAACAAGCACAGTCAACATGGTCAACACACAGAAAATTCCCGCCTTGAGCCTGCGATAAAGGATGCGCAGAAGCTTGCGCAGAACGTTTTTCCGCCCTGAACCTTTTATGTGGTGGTGTCAGTTTATTGATTAGTTTAAATTTGAAACTTGCACCAGTTCCCTACACAACTCTGAAACGGCCAATAGGCATGGCACTGTGGATTTCTACATTAATGGCCCTTGCTTAACAGACAGCTTACATATAGTAAATACAAAAACACACACTAAGTTTGCCCGGTGTTGTAAATAAGAGAGAGAGAGAGAATTTAAGTGGCATTTCTGATTGCTCCCCCAATTTGCAACAGTGCTTCCTCATTTTTTTGGCTTGACTTCATCCTCAGAAGCGACTTAAGCTAAAGAAATTTCATTGGTGCTTGTTTGAAAATGGATTAGGAGCAACATACATGTACACTGTACATGTACCAAGGCAATATGTCACAATGGCTCACCTCTGGTGTATGTTTAATACCAGAATGTACCGCTACTTGAATGCGATAATATTTGTCTCAAATATATTGTTCATTTGACTGTTTTTCAAAGGATTGTTCTTGGTAATTAAAGGAGTCTATTACCTACAACTATATGTTGAAAGCTAGACGCAAGTCAAGGACATTATGGAGTAAGCTTTCTCATAAGCTTTTTACAGAAACAGTGTGTGTGGAATTTTAGCCTTACACTTTTGAGCTCTTGCACTACAGTTGATCTGCCTAGCAGGCAAGTCCCTTCCTGCACGTGTCATAACATGTGTTTACAGTTGCAACACTATACTCAAGTGCCTCATTGTGCTTTTCTGGCCATTTCACAGTTGATTACATCCTTAACCTTCCCTCTTTTTCTCATGTCCTTTTTCATCACTGGAAGTGATGACTTTCAGTGTGTAAGGTGCCAGGGAGGGGAAGTCAGGGCATGTGGGCTCATAGCTGGGTTGCCTGTAAAGTAGGTAGCTCAGCTTGCTCAGCACCCTCGGAAACAGGGCTCCCAACCTTCATTTATTAAAGGCTATGACTTACATCCATCGTTACTACCAAAGATGTCATGGTCATGGTTATCAGCATGTTGAGATTTGTGGTTTGCTCCAGTACCAGCACATGCATCAAAGTAGCTCTGTAAGGTGTCTATTTGCTGGCAAACAATATCACGAAATGTCTCCAGTTCCATCAACTTTTCACGCAAGCCCCTCCCTTTCTGCAAATAATAATAAAAAAAGGATGTAAGAACCAAATCTTGAATGAGAGTTATAAAATAAATGTTGTAGGTCAAAATGAATGGCACCTACATATAGGTATGTATATTGATTCTCAATCTTCTTTGTCTCCTAGCCTTAATTATTCATGACAGGGCTTAAAATTGCAACTCACTGGTTGCCAATGACGACTACATTTTAAGACCTGGTTGTCAGTTGGTGAGTCACCTTATATTTCAATAAGATGACCCCTTAACTCACATCTCTAATCATATAGCAATGTGTTTCCCCACGGAAAAACAAAGTAGCACTCCGTCTTGTTCAGCAACTCAAACCCCCAACAGACAAATTACTTTTTGTTAAGGGAAGAGTATATAGATAAGCCAACACCTGAAATGTACACAGTTTTCAAGGTAAGTCAGTTTGTTCCTTTTACTATGTTTATCTCACATCTTCTTACGTTCCTCTTATAAACTGTACATTTCACCGTAGGTCAGTTCCTCCATTTAGTATTGGTCTTGACTTCTTAAATTTCCTTGGCCTGTACATCAGTTTGTAGGCATAAATAAATGTACAACACCTCGTCAGTTGTATGGTCTTGGTATTGTCTTTCTTTTGATTTCTAGAGTCTAGCATTTTGACAATATTAGTCTAGTATTTTTTAGGTTTCTGCGTAGTGTAGTTTTTTTAAATTTCCTTGTATGATAATGTTAAGCCTCTATACGGGTTCCTGCAGACGTCATTTTTATCATGCATTTTCCATTAAATTGTCTGTTTTTTAATGAAATCATCGTTTATCAGACATTGTTTTGCTTGGTAATGCTACTAGCAAACTTGATCAACCACAACGATGATGAAAACAAGAAAATATGAAAGCAAAACAAAAACTCTGAACGTGCAGCACACTTTTTTGCTATCATCTTACCACTTATGTTGTCAAACTTTACTGGAATGGCAATGCGATCATGTGATCCTTAATATCCAAGATTGTTGTTTCATTAATGGCGATCATCGGGACTTCATTTCGTCAGAAATACCCATAAAGAGTTTCAAGACTATACCTTTGTTCGAATGAGCTGACATACAGAAAATAACATTGAGACAACAGTAATGATGTACAAATGAATGTACAGGATAAAAAAAAGGAAGAGTAAAAAGGTATCAATAAGGGAACTGATTGAAAAAATTGATTGACACATTGCCATCACGGAACAAGTAGTTCACGACATTGCAAAGAAGTGAAGCCAATGAATAAGCTTTTATTTTAGGGACAATGTATGGAGATCTCTCCTTGGTGTATGAGGATTTTAGTCTGATAAAAAGTTTTCACCAAATGATGAAATACGGATGTCTGTTTGTGTACTAGCATTTTCTTCGGACATAACTGCGTACTCCCTCGAAGTCATATACTGGTGACCAAAAAGTTTGAATTGGCCACCAAAATTTTTCCTTTAGTCACCAGCTGGCACCTGAATGAAAAAGTTAATTTCGAGTCCTGCATGATCATGAAGAATATTAGGGTTTAGCAAATATGGTATATATAATATATAAGGGTTTAGGAAACTTTGCCAGAGCAGATGAAAAATCTTTTTGGTAATATTAGGGTTAGGAGACAAAGGAAAATAATAATACTAAGAATCAACCTAGGTTGAAATCATTTCTTTGAGTTTAATGTTATTTTATTCTACCACACAAATAAAATAGAAATGGTTTGCCATTACACCTGATAACTGTCATTCCAACTCAACAAACTTGTGAAGTATTATGAGGTTTACCTCAAGCCAGCAAGGGCTCGTTTGAAAAACCATTTTGACCAGTTAATGTATAATATACACAACTGCAGCTGTAGTACCTTAAAAGAAGAAGAAGATGCTGTTGTAGATAAACTTGTAACAGATGTTAGAGATAGCATTGATCCACCTTTCCTTAGACTTGACTCTGAGCCATAACCAGATTCTGCAGCCTGAAAAGAAAGTAACACTCACATAGGTGAATTAATAAGCTCCCAAATTATTTTAACATTAAATATTCACATACATCATTAAAACAATGCATATGGCAATCATTGACCAACCTTGACAGCTTCAAGTCCATCCACCCATTTCTGTCTTGTTTCTGCATCAGGTGCTCTCAAATAGTACATACAATCGTTGACACTCACATCAAATCTACAATCATCAAACTCATGGGGCTGCGAAAAACAAATTAAAAGAATGTTATCAACTTAGGGATTTTGAACATCATGGGAATTGAGGATTTGAGAATCTGATCAGCAAGAGGTTGACAGCAGGGCTTGAAAGAAAAATAAAGTTTAATTCCAGCTTGTCCAAACTCTTACACATTTTGCTCGCCTTTCTTAATGAGTTAGTTTCTAAATGACTTTTTGAGAACCTTGCTTATTTGGGCAAGTGAGCTTTAAAAACTTACTAGCCCAGCAAGAAAATCAATAAATTCTAGTTGTGCTGAATGACAAAATGGGACTGTAAAGTAGTCACAGCACATTAGTATAATTCAGTATAAAAGCACTCAAGTTTAAAGTTTTTGGAAAAGAAAGCTATCTTCAACAACAACCAAAGTTTGTTGCCAAAGGGAAACCAGGCATTACGGTCAACTCCTAAAATGTTTTGGGTTCCCACTGTGGGTCATGTACATTGTAATATTACCCTAGGGTTAAATCCCTTGAGAACATCACATGACCTACAAGTCATTGGGAAAATAACACATTCCACAAGAGATCTAACATTTCAGGAAAAAAAAACATAGTAGAAGAACATGCTGAATATTTTAACTGTGACACTGTTTAGTGCATATGTTCACTGCTTTTAGTATTATATTTGATTACTTATTAGTAACTCTTTAGTAATCGTTTACATAAATACAAATAAAGATAAAACTTTCAGGCTGATAACTTGCATGAACAACATCATAGTATAGGGATTAAGGGAACGTAAACTTAAAGAAAACCCTTGAATCAACTAATTTTGTCTAGTACTTTAATCATCCATACTAACCTGAAAATTGACAAAAATGTGCTCATATTTCAGGCAAGGCATAGTTTAGTGCCCAAGATTAATGTGACCATAGGCATACCAGAATGTTGCCAAAATGATAAATAATGGAAACAGGGAAGACTCACTAGCTACACTTCAGAAAATACACAATAGCCACCTTAATTTATAGCAATCGCCACAAAATGTAGTCCCACCTGACATTCACTTAGATCTGTACCCTCCTTTACTAAACATCAAGGCGAGATCTGACTGCAGTAGTAAATTTTATTAAGACACTGACATCCTGTATTCAATCATCTTTAGTTTTAATTATCCCATGTAGAAGCTTTTTATTCTTTTCTATCAAGAACTTGCACTTCACTAACAGGACAACAGTAGGTTTATACATAAAATTCAATTTTGTTCAAATAGGAAACCTCCAGCGATAAGTGAGTTAAGTTTAGCATTATCCTCAGATAAAGTCAGTTTTACATGTAGTTTTCCCATGCAAAGAGTTTTTATTTACTCGTTTTTTTCACAAGAACTTCCTCTTCACTCAGAGAACAACTGTAGGTTTAAAAATAAATTTTCGTAGAAAAGGAAACCTTTCATAATATTTACCAGTAAGAAACGTTTTTTTGTAGCTTCAAGATAAAAGATCCCTTTGAAAATAAATAGGTTGATATTAATGTTGTTTTTGCCATTAAGGTTCAAAAAGGGAATATATAATACACTAATCTACAAGTGGGCCTCAAATTTCAAAACAATGGGAGGCAAACACGCGGCATGTGAAGGCATTGAGTTACAAGCAACTACGCAATCTGCATAGAACGAAAAGATGAATAATATTAAGCTTACAAGTAGCTACCACAAAAAACATTTTAATAATATTCAAAACTAAGTTAAATGTCAAATACGAAATATTTTAATCCTCGTGTTAACATAAGGCAACATATAAACAATGCACGTGAGGGTTTAACCACAAGGTCCTCTTTTTTCGTCCAAAGCAAAAACATCACCGCGTGCGCCGACACATTGCAAAACTTCTTCATGCATGTGTTCAGATAAATTTAAGTTTATGCCTGGTGAAAAATGAATATACGCCTTATCTTTTAAATCAAGAACTCTTATCATCTTCGTCACGTTTAAATTTAGCGCAACAATTATATTGGATCTCTAAACCTTAAATATTATGCCGGCTTTACTAAATAGATACTACAGATATTAGCTTACCACAAGTACGAACTTACTTGAATTGTAGCTTTAGCCACGCTCATAGAGCCTCGACAGCCAAACGCTGTATCGTACTCTGATTTATAGTACGACAAAGTGCCGCCGCTCAAGACCACCCATCTTTCTTGCCATCCGTGAAGATAGTTTGTCCATTTTGACAAGGTGTCTTGGAGTTCAGGGAGTTGCGGCTGAGAGCTCGTGCAATCTAAGTCATCCTCTTCTTCGTCGCTTAAACTTGGCGTGTGTTCTCCAGACATTGCTAGAAACCTTCTTGGAGAACTTAAGATCTGTTGTTTAATTCAACGAAGAAAAATCGACGAAATTTCATTTGACATTCAAGCATAAACACGTATCCGTGCTCCACCTACCGAAAATTCCGCCATGTTTGTGTTCACTTTGTGTTCACTGGGTTTCGGGGTGACGTCACGATTTGGTACCAGTGTCCACGCTGCGCAAAGTCGGCGCTATATCTAGAAATTTTTTGGCAGTATTTTTTAAAATAATTTTTCAGTACCGTAGAGCTTTGTCAGGTACAGCGGTGAATTTTTTTAAAATTTTCCATTTTCAAGTATTCTTAATATTTCAAAACCAAACGTCGAATTTTTTAAAGCCATAAGTTTACACACACTATACTTTAAGTTTCTGTTTCGAAAATAATAGGCAAGTAAAAAGCACAGTTTTCGGGGAAGGCATGATTGTAACGAAATTGTTTCTTCTATTGCGTTGGATAGTCGATACTTTGAGTCACTTCCTGCATGAAGAGTAAAAGACTGCCCGTGCGCATCCCCCAAGGGAATATTTTGTGCATGTGCCAGTTGCTCGCAGGGCATCATGGTTAATGTTGTGAAAAATGGCGCAAAGGGATCACTTCACTGTAAATAACGCAGAAAACAAATCACTGACTTTCAAGCGTACTCGTCGGATTCAGTAGATTAAAAGATGCCTAAGGCTACCAATGGTAAAAAGCGAAAGAGAGATAAGAAAAAGGATGAAGAGCGCAACGCGAAGAAAGCAAAATCAAATGACGACGGTGGAGTCAAACAAAGCGATGTTGAACTGGAAGGAGAAGGTTATGGCTCTGAAAAGCCTTGTGAAAAAGAATCAGAAATTGATGATATTGATGAAATTTTGGAGGAGAATGCAGCAAGGAACAACTTAACGGCAATTAATGTCAGAAGCATTCTACATGTAAGCTCTGATTATTAATTTGTTGTGTACACGTGTGTCGTTGATCATGTAGCTACTTGTACTAGTACTTTGAATGGCGTAACCTAAGTTTGGAACATTTTGTTGAACAGTTTAACAACGGCTTTTTTTCCAGCGGGCAATCCCCTCTTGGCCGAGAAGTTTTTCAAGCCTTTCGTCTTTTCGTGTGTATGTTTTTTTTGTTGCCATGTGATCATGTGTGAACTGCTGGTGCATTTATGCTTACAATAATTGTAGCCTTAGGTTTACTGTAATGTACTGAACTCAAAGTAGGTGAAATACGATCATCAGGTGAGTGTAGTCCTCTGTTTCTGACAGTGACCAGGGCATTTTCGATAACTTACAAGTGCAGTAGTCATCTTCAGAGTCTACAGTAAAGACCCCGGGCATTGCAGCATTACACATGGGTTTCATGCGTGGAAATCCACCATATTGCACGCAAATTCCATGAGAAAAACATGTGTGAAACACCCGTGTAAAGAAATACACACAAAAATACGCGAGAAAATACACGCAAATTAGGAAAATCTGCATGTAAAACTTTACACGCAGATTATTGTAATTTGCATGTATTCGGTTTACTCAAGTTCTTACATCGCTAGCTTAGTGAGTGTAGTTGTACTTGGGCAGGTGGCTTTGTTTTAATAGCATAAAGTGAATCAAACTTTCGAGGCGCATTCAAATGTTAGTATTATTCTTATGTTATCTGGGCTAAAAGTGATCCAAGTTTTTTTTACACATTCTTCACTTGAATCTTCATTTGTAGGCTTCGCAGAGATTATAAAAAGGATTCAATTTAAACCAGTTTCAGCTATCAACTCGCAACTACATGTATTTTGATGGACCAACTACTCTGTAATGTGACGCTGTTATCTACATCTCTGTTTTGGTGATCACGGTCCCTTCTACATGTATTTTGTTTATTTTGGCAATGATTTAAATTTCTTTTAGCTTGCCACACCAGCGTCAGTCAGTCATGTCGTCCATGTATTTTTAAGCAAATAACCAGGGGTTACTGCAAGAACTAATTTTAGTTCCCGGGTTTTAGTTTTACCTGGTAAGGAAAGGTGGTCTTCAATTACACTACATGTAAATTTGGAGTGAAATTGTATCCAAGTTTAGTAATAACGCATTGTAATTTTTAAACAACAACTAAGGGCATATCGTGAAGCTAATTCAATGTTAGAATAAAGACAGATGTAAAAGAGAAACCGGTGAGCTCTGTAAAATTTAGTGACATTAAAATGACATTACGAGTCTTCATAGCGAATAACGCGTAGCTTAAACGGTAGGCTACTAATAACATCACGATTTAATTGACCTTTCAGGTGAACCACCAGAGTTTAATACCATCAACTGACATGATACAACTCACTTTGACTCTGAAGGTGACTACTACACAGGTTGTCGAAATGTCAATCACTGTCAACAACAACAGTTCTCTTCAGGACTATGTTCACCTGCAGACGGTCCTACTCAATCCTCTTGTGAAATGACTGTTGTGTTTAAACCTTTCCCGGACAATTTATTGTTTATGTATTTTTAATGAATTCTTTCCTCTTTGTCTGCTATAGCATGTTGTAACTGACAAGAGGGTCCTTGCCATGGTGAAGAGTGCAGCTGCTGAAGCTGATGATGAGCAAGGTGATGATACTGCTGGTGTTGATCAGGATGTGGGACTAGACTTTGTAAGTTACTGTTATTTCATTGGAAATAAAACCCAGGTACAACTGTAATGTGACTGATGGGCAACAACAATTGTACATGTACAAAACTGTACATGTAACATTCAGAGAGCAGTGAAAATAATGTGGTAATACATGGCAGCTTCACAAGGGACATTATTATATTGTACGTGTGCACTGTACATTTTTTGTTAAGAATATGGTTAAATTGTTGTAAATTATTTAACAAAATTAAAAAAAGAGTTACAGTATACATCGCCCTTGTGAAGCTGCCATGTTTTTTTTACCATTTTTTTTATTTTGTTCTAAGTGTTCTAAACATTTTGGGATTGGTTACTTAGAAGTTAAGATGTACTTTTTTTTTTCATTCATTCATTCATAGTTTATTTGGTAAAGCAGGTTAAGTTAAAAGGCAGCTAAAGCTGATGTGGACCTGCTGATAAACTATCTATTGATGATATACTTACATGTAAGCAGTATGTGAAGCAGTGGTCAGTTCGAAAGCCATGCTCTTCTGACCACTGTACACTTCTCTCCAAGCCAGTTACCGTATTTATTCGACTATAAGCCGAGCGATTTTTACACAAATTAAAACTGAAGTGAATTAAAATTTGGGCTCTAGAGGGGGTCTCGGCTTATAGCCGAAAGTTTTTGAAAAAAAATTTTTTCCGGCGCATGGAAACTCTACTAAATCGAGATGTATTTACGTATAAGCCGAGCTAAAGTAAAGAAACACAATATGCAATCGTTGGTTATTAACTTTTAAGAATGTGGTGGCTCCTAAAGGAGCCGTTTGTTAAATTTAATGTGTTTTCACAGAAAAGATAAAGATTCTTGATAGGGAATAACCGTGACACTGACGGGATGTGATTACAAATCGATGGAATTTGACTGTTTGCTGCTCCAAATCTTCAGGGAGACGCTGAGCGAGTGTTGTTTTGGTGCGAAGGCTGACGGAATGGCGGCGCTTCCATTTCTGGTACCAGCCGAGGGACGCTTTAAACTCGGGATCCTCGCAGAATTCCTTTGCCTTTAGACGTAGCATCAATCCGCTAACAGCTATTCCTATGCAAAACGAAGTGAGAACTCACAGAAGGTTACGAAACGATCGAAAGGTTAAAAATTGGACACGTCTTGAATTTGTTTTGACATTTGTGAAAACTGGCCAATGAGAGTCTTTCATACACAATGTTGTGACACGATACTACGATAGTTTTGAGAGTCACACATTCAACAACACATACTCACTCTGCAATCAGCTGATTGATTTATTTCGTGATCTTGTTTCTGTTGTTTTAAGATACAAAATCAATGCTCGACAAAAAACTTACCTTGGGTTCTCTGCTCTGTAAACCATTCCAGTATTCTTTGATCGAGCTCCGGATATTCGGCGTGAAGCATCCCATCGTCTTCCGTTTCGCTAATAATTTAATCTCGCCGTTATAAAGGTTCGCTTGATCTTTCCTCCAGGGACGGACCATGGACTCACTGATGCCATATTCTCTGGCGATTTCAGAGTTATTTTCAACAGCTTCTGCTTCGGCGACTATTGTAAGTTTAAGCGCGAGGTTGTATGACGTGCAACGAGCTTTGGGCATGATGACAACTTGACTTGAAATAAACGATTGCAAACACGAGATTGTTTGATAGACGCTACGGATGTCTAGGTACTGGTGATGCCGCTTAACAACACAGTTAGTTTTAAATTCATTTTTTGGATCACATTAATTCATCTGAGTTATGATTCATTGCTTTTCAATTGAATAGTTACTTACGGTTAATACTAATAGTATTTATTAATTCGCGTGTGCTTTCTAAGAGGGAAGCTGTTTGCATAATAAATCATCATTACATCTCTTGTATACGCGCGTGTGTGTTATCGTCTAAGCCTCATTTATGATAATCAATGTGATTTTTTCCGAAAATGTTAGGTTTTCCCGTAGTTACCAATTCAGTCTTGTAATAATGAATGGGTCTCGGCTTATAGCCGGGTGTTTTCGATTTATTTTTGGTTCTCGTTATGCCGAGTCTACACGTTCAAAGTTTGGGGTCTCGGCTTATAGCCGAGATCGGCTTATAGTCGAATAAATACGGTAATTCTATCTTTTCTTCTCTTTTGTGTTATTATTTATTCCTATGTTACTCTCTGGTCAGTGTAATTATTGTAGTAGTATCACTAAAAAACTGAAACCCCTTAGTTCTAAAGGTTACACTGTACAAGTACATATTGCATGTACAGTCTGTTCATGTAATAATCATTATTTTACAAAAGAATTGAGAAAACATATATAGGCCAAAAATTGAATTATTTTAGAAATGTTCTCTTTAGGTTATAATCTAACATACTTTGTGCAGCACATCTTTCTATCTCAGTGACCTTTGTGTTGTGTACAGTTGTTCCTGTGTTGTGTAGGTTTTTATTTTAAATATACAGTGTGCATGTCAAAAAAAGTGCATTTTGCTTGATTCATTGTTATCAAATATGTAAAAATGTAAAAAGTGCTAAAAAAATTTTTATAAAGTCAAAAAACAATGGAAATAAAACAATGTTAACAAGAACTACTCTAAACAAATAATTTGGCGCGAATTGAATCGCACTGTTTGTTAAGTGTCGGTTTCAGTTCTTGGATAAAAAACATTTCAAAAATAAGGCAGTCAAATTTGTTCTGACACTTTCTTAAGATTCTAAAACTTTGTGCGATGTCTTCAGGCTCCATATCATGCTGCTCTCTGAGGTGGTTTCCGATTACCCGATCCTTTGTGTTCTTCAATTCGTTGGTGTAGGTGTGTCGCACGTGTAGCCGACATAACCTGCATCACACAGGCTACACTGGAAAGAATACACCACGCATTGTTGACTCACAAGGCGGCTTGTCTTCCTTGACCTTAATTTCATCTTTGATCTTCCTACTTGTGTAAACTGGGCTGATGTCTGCGTTGATCTTCCTACTCAGGTCAGCCAGCTGTTTCGTACTACGTTGCTGATTTCTGGTCTTTGAAGGGCAACACGATTCTGATTGGGGCTTCTCTTTTTATCAGCCACTTGGGTGTGTGAATCCTCGGACACTTTGGATTCAATGAATTGGCGAATGGTTGACTGCACAAGGTCGTCTGGATAGCGCGGTCGGGGAAAGATCTCTTTAAAGGCGTTCACATTCCTCGTGAAAAAACTTCCACGTGAGCGAGAGTTTAAATGCGGTTAAGCATGGTGTTCAGGAGTGACCGTTTGTATCTGGCATCAACGTGACTGTGGTAGTGTAGTAGAAGTCCAGTGTCCATTGGTTTTCTGTAAACCGTGGTGTCTGGCGGCAACCATTCCTGATAACATTCATTCCGAGAAAGGGAAGCTTGCCATTTTTTCTTGAGCTCCATTGTAAAATTGATAGAGGATGACTCTCGTTTAGTGTCGTCAGGAATTCTGAGGCTGCTGTCAGATCCGGCATTCGCTAAGTGTATCATCTACATAGCGCTTGTAGAAGGTAGGCAACTTGTTCTCTGTTTCCAGCTGTTTCTCGATTTTGCACATAGTGTTAAGCCCTCCTGTTCTTTGACCTCCATAATGGGTGGTTATCAGTCATTCAAACTGGCCTTTATCTCTCAAAAGCTTGAATTCAAGGTTTATAGGAAAAATAGTTCTATGCAAAAGTACATTGTCCTTATTATGTACATGTATATCTTTTCAGAAGTGTATGGGGTGGTGAATTGTGTGTGGTTCATTGAGACCTTAACACCATATACTCCCTGTAGAAAACTTGTTATATAGCTTTTCTATGAAATACACCTGTATGTGATATCTTTATTTACAAGGCACCAAAAATGACCAGAGCCAAGAGCAAGCAGACAAATCAAGGAGATCCTATTGCTGCTTTGGTAAGAAAAAAATCTACTGTACAACTTACATGTACATAATATTATTCAGTCAAGATTTCATTTGTCTTCAGTTTGACCGTATTTTTCCCTTTGAAGCGAGCTTATACCATCAGTATTTAGTATTGTTTATTTTTTCAGGCATCCCAGTCGCCGATAAAAGACTTGAAAGCCAAGCAAACTTCAAAAAATAAGGTATGAAATGTTAGTGTTTAAGACTTGTCATTAGAACTGGGATCAATTTAGGTTTCTGGGAAACTGCCCACCTATCCCTCCCCTAAGCCAACATTTTGCCCTAAGTGAGAACTTAGTGATAATGTTGGCTTAAGGGAGGGGTAGGTGGGCAGTTTCTCAGAAACCTAAATTGATCCTAGAACTGCATAAGGGACAGTGTATTGAGGTTCATGGTTGGAAGTAGTCATGATCATCCTCAGGAAAATTTTGTATTCCTTCTCAATATTGGTACATGAATATTTTTGGCTTAAAGGAATGTGTAAAGAGTTGGTGTAAGTGTCATCTCAGAATTACTTTGACATTGTTGTTGAGTTTTGACCACCTTTCAAATTCTCCATACAGTAATTCAAGGAGTAGACTACATTTGTATTTATTTAATAATACTCTACTTCTTGAGTTGGTGCTTTTTAAAAGAATAAATAATAACAGTTATTATTTATTCTTTTAAAAAGCACCAACTCAAGAAGTAGAGTATTATTAAATAAATACAAATGTAGTCTACTCCTTGAATTACTGCATGGAGAATTTGAAAGGTGGTCAAAACTCAACAACAATGTCAAAGTAATTCTGAGATGACACTTTACACCAACTCTTTACACAGTCCTGGTCACCTGCATTCATGCTTTAAAGCTCTGAACTGCATGTCAAAGTGCAATTTGCAGCTTTATAAAGCAAAAACTGCTTCAGATGATCCCCTTGTCTGTTGGTTATAAAACTTATAATAAAAAAGTTTTGGTTTTTACATGACTCAAACAAATCTCACTGTGACTGGTATATTGTTGCCTCGTAGAAGATTCACTTTACAGAGTTGGAGCTCCCAGAATCATCCTCTGATGAAGAATACAATCCAGATGATGAGGTAAGTCACTTGGTCTGTCTAGGATTTAGACCGTTTGGTCTATCATTTTCCAGAAGTGCCTTGTGCACAGCTGTATCATGCTGGCTTTCACCCACAATGACATTAGGCAAACACTGGCCTTACACACTCTAATATTTTTATGTCCCTAATATCATGAGTGACAAATTACTCCTTAATTTTAGCACGAAATTTCCAGCATTAATAATCCTTATATTATACAATACAAGAACTTAATTATTATCTCTCCTGAAGGGGCTATTCTGAGATAATTTACAATTGAAGGAATAATAAGTATGTGTAATCAAATGGTGACAAGTGAAATTATTACTATTAATATCATGGCTGACGAATTATGTTAGCAATCTTGGATTTTTGACATGTTTATCCTGGATCGTATCAATCGAGAACTCCACTCTCTCGAACTTTTATAGCTTAAATATGACTCAAATTTAGAATTTTTCTGCAAAATACCTGTTAGAATCCTTCTTGATGTGCTCTTTGGTGAGTTCAGGTTTTCTAAAGCGACTTTATATGCCCTGGCATCTTCATTCATGTCATTTTAAAACTTCGTCGCCATCTTGACACTGAGACGTACAGAAGGTTGCCATGGCAATTTTGTAATTTCACATGTGAAATTACAAATTATCGCTGAAATTTCACGCCAAAATTAAGGAGTAATTCGTCACCTATTATATTAGAATTATTATTCCTTTGTAAATTATTATTATTTTCAGAACAGCCCCTTCAGGAGATTTTTTTAGGATGCTTTTATAAAACCTAAGTAATTTACTTTACTTAGGTTTTGCGCTTTAGAAAACCCTTAACACACGATAGAGCACATGCAGAATGATTCTATTAGGTATTTTGTCGAAAAATTCTGAAAAATTCTGAACTTAAGCCAAAATTTAAGCTGTAAAGTTCTCACTGCGTAGAGTTCTTAATCAATAATCAATATGATAAACGTGTCAAAAATCTATGATTCTGACCGTATGTAGGTAATCAAAAACAATGGTTTACTTGTGAAATTAAGTAATGTTAAATTTCACTTTTGTTTTGTTCAAATCCTTTTAGACAAAATGCCAAGAAATCATTCCTGCCTAATTTCAGTCCTGACCATTAATGTTTTGATTACACATACTTGTAGAATTTTTGACATAAGCACATGGCCTTGACAAAGTCTATTATTATTTACAGTTCTGGGGTAGTTAATGTAATCCTGTTAGAATTTGAGAATAGAAATCTGTGATGTGGAATTCTATTATGGTGTTGTGAGTTTTAATTTGACATTATAGTCAGGTATTTTGAATGAGGTGCATCTGTGCATACAGCTGTAAACTACATTATTTTATGCTAAAACCTTTGTGAAGCACTCTGAAACTTACAGCCCATAAAAAGTTGGTTTAACCGTGTCATATGTCCTTTTTTTCAGGATGCAAGTGATGATGATACAGAAAGTTTTCTATCATTTTCAAGGTTTAACTGATGTTTTGTTTTGTTCAAGCAAAAACTGAATTAAAGTACAGTCTGTACTTGTCCAAGTACTTTTTGCCATTTTTGGGTTTGAGTTTTTCATATTTTAATACAATTTTCTGTTAATGATGTGGAAAAACTTAGGGATACTATTTTTAGGGCTTGTACTTTAAAATTAACAATTTGGTGTGGTTTTAAATATTTTGGTTAACTCTAGAGTAAAATTATCATGTACAAAATTCTCTCCCAGCATCCAGCTGAAAAATTTAATATTGGAAAAGACTTAAGAAAGTACTAAAATTGAAAATTAATGTCATAGAATGCAATGTTACATACTATAAAACCATTTTTTTTAAATCAAAATTTCCTTTTCTGAATGAATCTTCTTTTTTTATTGCAGTGACCTGGCATCTCCAGCACATATGCCTGGTACACCGGAAAGTCATAAAACAGAGATTACAGAGTCTGGAGAGCCAACTGAATCAACTAAATCACCAACAGGTACATACACATGTGTACATATATTATGCCCATGATTGTACAGTTTATCTTTCATTTTTAATTCAAATATCAATTTTGAAAAGTATACAATGTATACTAATATTCAATGCACAGGGTGCAAAGAAAATCATTTTTACAGCTTGCCATTCGGGCAAGCTGAAGCTGGCATTTACTAGCCCAGACGTCATTATAACTAGCCCCAAAAACGTTTTGTTCTTCTGTTATTCAAACTCCTCTTAAAACATCACTTGCCCATCGGGCAAGTTAAAAACAGAATTCACTAGCTTGATAGCAAAATCCTCTAGCCCCGGGCTATCGGACACTACTTTCTTTGCACGCTGAATGCATGTACATTTATTGCAATCATATAACATGGTAGTTCTAACATTATGCATTATGTGTGAGTGAATAATTTTTTCTCATCCCTGCTAATGGACTCATTCCAGCAGAGACCTTCCACTGCTACCCTTTTCAAACATTGCATTTATAATTGAACTGGCTGGGAAATGTATTATTAATATATCGTACATTGTGTCTGGGGGCTTAGGTATTAAGCTTTCACGTACAGTGTAGGTCTTGCATGCCTCCAAAAAAATTAAAATGTTCTGGTGACCAACATTATTTTAATGTCTGTTTTCCAATCCAGCCTATTAATGCTCTGTGTGCAGTTGCAAGCTAAAGAATTAGATGACAGAAAATATAATGTTTGGAAACTGACTTACTGAGATTCTCAAAAATGTTAAATTACAGTTATTTTACCTTTGCCATAACAAATTATTTTATGTGTTTTGATTGAATTCTTTTAGTGACTAGATCATGTAGCAAGAGGCTTTTGCAGGAGCCATTTAAAGTACCTTATCCAGTAACGTTAACTGCACCAGCACCTTTTGAACTAGAAGAGGTACGTGTGACCGTCAAAGTTCTGTTTATAGTGACTATGTAATGTAAAAATTCTAGTGCCAGAATCTATTTCAATCAGTGATCTTAATATAGGATTACACTTTAGCCTGCATGTAAGATTCTGGGAAACTGCCCACCCACCTACCCCTCCCCTAACCCAACATTTTGACCTAAGAATGCAGTTAGTGTTTACCTTGGATTAGGGGAGGGGTAGGTGGGAAGTTTCCCAGTTTCCCAGAATGTTACAATGTTAAAAAAATCTATTGCTGCTTTGTTCATGATGTCCTTATTTAAAGAATTATCAATTTTTTCTGAGTTTTTGCTTTCAAGAGGTATAAGGACAGCTAAATGCCAAAATTTATTTGTAAAACTTTTACAAATTTTAACTTTGAAAAGGCTCTTTGTTTCTGAGACATGTACAGTAAGCTTGAATTCCATGATGTGGCATTTAAATGACTATCAAGGAAGCTGTGCAGAAGGTTAAAAAGTGAAGTGTCTTTTGAGTTTTTACTATCTGAACAGACTTTGTCTAAGAATTACATGTAGAAGTATTACTGTAACTTATCAACCCTAATCAGTAAGGTTTTGTTGGTTGATATAAAGTTTTTGTGAATCTTGAATGATACTCTTATTACAGTCTGTTCATTTGCATATAATGTTGAATCTCTTTTGGGTGGTACAGTATATTGTGAGTTTGTTCTTGCAGATTACTGTTGTGGAAGAAGGTGACTTGATAGCCAAAAGAACTCGCTCTCAGTTGCCTCTCCAAGATGTTTCTATTGAAAGTATTGAAGGTACATATTGTTAACACAACCAAGAACAGAAAGTATTAATCTACTGTTGTTAGTGAATTACAGCAATGTAATTAAATTTGGATTGCCCCACCCCCCTCTTACATGTACACCACAAACAGTATTTGAAGCATGTTTCAGCATTGTATAAGGCAGGGGGGAGAGAGAACTGCGAGGTATTTTCCAAAAGGTAGCACTGTTTTATGAAAGCACACAAAAATAAATTACTGTCCCTAGGACTTTTGTCCAGGATTGTAGTACTAGTAAAAATATATGGCAAAGCACCTCAATATTATAATGAAACCTTGCTATTGCAAACATATTTAGCCATTCCCTTGGCTCTTTGTTTTAACTAGTTTCCACTGAACATTCTATTGGGTTGAACTTTGGATTTTGGACTTGACTTCAGTTTGATTTTAGGCATTAGTTGACATACACAACAGGATGGCAAAAGGAAGAGGATGGCAAAATGTATTTGTGTTTTGTTGTGATCTTTATAACTGTGTTGAGGCCCCAGTTGTTAAAGAGCTGGATTAAGCACTATCCACCAGGGCCCAGTTGTTCGAAAGGTGGATAATGCTATCCATTGGATAAATCTCTATTCAGTGGATAATGCAATTGATTTCCCTAATACCTATCTCCTGGAGAGCGATTTATCCTGTGGATAGTGCTATCCAATGTTTGAGCAATCAGGGCCAGATTCAGGGGATAAGTATAAGGAACACTAACTTAGTTTGTTATTGAGTGGATAGAGATTTAACTGGTGGATAGCGATCATCCTTTTGAAAAACTGGGGCCTTGTCTTTTAGATTCTTTTTTTTTAAAGAATTCATCTGTTTAAAGGACGGTAAGATTTGACGGAAAATTTTTTCAAACGTACTTAATCATGACACGCTTGTTACACAAGGTTTGCAATTGTCTTTCCTCTCCCTTCCTATTGTGTAAGTCTACTACTCTTAAGGAGTTGAAGGAGTAATTCTGACCAACACCTTCTGTTTTATTTAGCCACATTCCAGCCTCCAGATTTCACTGCTGATATGTATGATAGTATCCCAGTGGATGATATGGACTTTGAAGACATTGAATGGCAGAAGTGGCTTCAGGGACTAGTCAACTCAGGTATATACCATGTACATGTAGGAGAATCATTGATGATGTGCAAGTTCAGTATGTTAAATGCATTTATTTTTTAAAGACAAAGTTGGGTTTTTGCCAAAAAATGAAGAAGGCTAATGTCCAGCCTTCTTGGCCAAACAATTCCTCCAGTGGTCAATTTATACAATGTAAAAGAATCACTTGTATGGCCAAGCAGAAAGTTCATAACAATGTATGTCTATTACACTGTTAATCAAAAGTCTGATGCAAAAATTTGGTTACTTTGAAGCACTTTCAAAAATGTCCAAATAACCAAGGTGTCATTCTTGCACTGAGCCCTTCAATTTCTCTCATTGGCTAACCAGATTCACTTCATATTGCCTGCTTTTGGAGAATGCCAACGACCATCTACATGTGGAAAGACTTAACAGTTGATCATATAATAACTAAGTTTGTATGCCCCTGTGCTTTACGTTTGACAGAGTTTTTGACTTTTTCATTGCTTGCTAATGCTCATCACCATTAGAGTTGATCTCTATGATATTAGAACTTTGTGCTAATAGTTTTTTATTCTTAAGATCTCAATGCTGGCATACAGTATTTTTCTCTTTTTGATTACTGAACAGCTGTGACTACATGTATTTTTTTGTACTTGTAGACATACACAAAGTAGTGTATGGTTTAGCACATTTAATCCAGTTATTTTTATTTTTGTTTTACATGTAGATGAAGTCTGTGGTGAAGATGATCAGGAGGATACTGAATACAATTTCATGGCTGAAGACCAAAAAGAAGAAAAGGAAGAATACAGGAATGACAGAGCTGTTAGAATTCCACGTAAGTAACTAATGTGTGACTGTCAAAGATTCAGGACTCTAGTTTAGTTAATTGCTGAGGTTTAGTAATGTCATATAAAATTGCACAATTTTTTTTGTTCTTGATTACTGCCAGTAGGCTATTTCTCCGTCAGTCACGATATTGTTAATGGAGCATTTATTTACAAAATAGCTTCCTGCCATTTTCTTGCATAAGACTGGTACACTGTACATACCAGCCCAAGAGTCATTTGAACTAGCCTGAAAAAATTTGTGATGAGCAGAATTGATCGCAGTTTAATCTGTAATTTAAATTCCCCCCAAACACTTCACTTGCCCATCATGCAAGTTTACAATAGAATTCACTAGCCTGATAGCATAATCCACCAGCCCCAGGCTATCGGACATGACTTTCTTTGGTAGCTTTTTCAGTCCCTACATTTGCGTCAGTCTATAAAATGTACACCTCTGTAAAACAGACATTTGGTTCTGTCCTATTGGTGTCCATGATAACATTAAAGTGGTCTGATGATATTTGAGATGCTATTTGTTTCCTTGTAGAGAAGGAAGTTAATGAACTGTTTGAGGAATTACTTAAAGATGTAAGTGTTACCGGTACATGATGTATTTGTATAAACTAGGACAACAATTATTTGTCTTTTTTATGAAGGATTTAACAACGATGTTACTGTTTATCAAACACTGTGCAATACTGAATTATTTCATGATCCTTACTGAATTGTGATTACACAGTTTGATGACAACGAGGATGGCTATTGTGTGACTGAGGAAGGAGAACCAGTGGGGTATCTGGAGATGCTCAGTAGCGGGTTGGTGTATTCTTTTGGTTCCAGTCTTACTACAATTTTCAGTTTACATTTGTGCTGGGAATCATTTTTCAATTTTTGTCTACAGTTCTACATTGGTATTTTTGTATTTTGTTATTTTTCCCATTCTGTTTTAATACAATGATGTATCAACAATGCATAAAGTAGTACAAAACATTAAAGAGAGACATCGAAGATGTACTGTTTCACTGTTCTGTCAAGCTATCAAGTCAATAAAAAAATATTGATAATTAATGAAGTAAATGTTTAAGAATGAAAATTTTCGAAATCACACGTTTCACTTTCGTTTATTTTTATTCTTAAATGTTTCTATAAAATTAAATTGATCAAAATAAATGATTATTGTTCTATCCATATGCAGTGTAAAACGTGGTTCAAGAAGTCCTTCCTGAGCACTATACACTGTAGCTTTGATTTTTATTCTCATGATTGTTGCAGACTTCTCTACCTTTGCAATTTACGTCATGCGTTTTGTTTGTCCCTGTGCGTAGCAGTCCATACAGTAAATCTTCATTTTGGCTGTTTGTGTGCAATCTTTTTTCTTTAGGACCAGTGGTCAGGATAATGTTCAGTTGTTCTCGCAGCAGCAGCTGGACAGATTAAATGTACAACTACAACAGGTAGATGAAGACACCTCGCATGAGCGGAGCACGCCTCGCCACTTAAGAAACGAGATGGAGACCGGAGTCGAAATGCGTTCCGCAATGTGTTTTGGGATCGTTACTGGGGACGCGTCGGTCAGCTATGGGGCATTTTTCTTCCCTGTCCCTAGCAACAGTCCTTAGTAACAGTCCCTAGTAACAGTCCCAGTCGTCTTTGCGAAAGTCAACTCTCCCCAGCTTCCTTCTCGTTTCTAAAGTGGCGAAACGCATGCTGCTCATAGCCAGTTACCTGTCACACACATGCGTCATCATGACGACACAAACTCGGGGATCAAATTAGACCTAGAGGAAATCACAAAATTAGAATCGTGGAAAGCTGAAAACAGATCCCAGAGGTGTGCACATGAGCGAAGTTAATCAGGCGTTTTAATACAACAACAACATCAGCAACAATAAATAGCCATCTCTACTCCACACTGTTTCTTATGACCGCTAACACATGGAGACCTACATTGTAAGAAAGCGCAAAATCCAAATAAGACTCCAGGAAGCGCGATCAGCGGAGAACCAACACCAGAAAAAAGATAATAAACCCATCGAGTTAGAAAATCATGGCGCTTACAGTTAATGATGTTTTTTCTTCTTGCCCCTTTCGTCGCGCGTGACTCTCGCTTCGTGCTCTTCTAACGCAGGTTTGATTCGTGGGTGGTAAAACGCGCAAAGTAGTTTTTCAACTCATTTTGTAGCAACGTTGCAAAGCAAGTTGCTCGCTTTTGTTGTCCATCTTTCCGTAGCTTTATACCAGTTAACATATTTATCATAAAAATTGTGTGCTCGTGTGACACCTTGCCTTTCACTCCGAATTCTAATCAGAATTTTCTTTCCAGCACACACAGCTCCTGACACAGATATACTTGATGTCGCGAGAGGATGACAGCCTGAGCAAAGAAGCAAAGCTGACACGTGACTATGTCACTGAATTAAAAGGTTTCCAAGACCGTGCATGTAATGCTCAACTCATAAGAGGACTGGGTGACGGAAAGGTGCATACGTCAGCATTTAGCTTCCCAGGGCTTGAGGACGCTGTCGAGTAAGTCCCTTATGTGAAGAGTTGTGCGCGTCCTCTCGAGGATGCTGTTGGGTAAGACCCTTATGTGAAGTGTTGTGCGCGTCCTGTCGAGGATGCTGCCGAGTAAGTCCCCTACGTGAAGTAATGTGCGCGTCCCCTCCAGGACGCTGTCGAGTAAGTCCCTTAAGTGTGACATTTTGTGCGCGTCCTCTGGAGGTTGCTGTCGAGTAAGTCTCTTATGTGAAGTGTGGTGCGTGCCCTTTTTTATCATGGCATGATAAGATCAGTCGTTTGAGCGCTTGGGATATCGCGGGTTCGATTCCTAGGGCTGGAACAATACTCAGGGTCTTGAAATAACACTGAGAAGTGAAGGTTTTCTCTTTGCCTTGCAAACGGCTGGACCTTCGTGTGGCTCGAATGACCGCGTAAAATGGCGGCCCCGTCTAAAGTAGGAGACGTAAATAAATGTTCCCATTTAGTACTTTCGTGCTAAATACAGTGACACCGGACTCGATCGAATTTAAAATAATCTCTGGTTCTTTTCAGAATTGTTAATAGCACCTTCGTACCTAAACGAAGAACACCGAGCCCACGAAAATGCGCCACTCCCAAGAAGGATAACAAATCTCCCGCCAAAACAACGAGGCGTTCCAGACGTGTAGAAGAAGAGCTGCTTCCGTCGCCGTCCGACACCAACGTCCAGTTAATGGCGGCGAACACAAACGTGTTCCGGTTCGTGGAGTTGCTTCCTCTTCATAATCTTCTTCCCAGGACGGGCGACACGCCCAAGCAGTTGAACGGGCTGCGGGTCAAATTCTCGGATGCTGAAGATAATCTGCTGGCGATGGGAATGAAGCAACTGGGCAAAAAATGGGAACTAATTCAAGAGCATTTGCTGCCTGTGAAAAGTCCTAAACAGCTACAGATTCGCTGCAAGAATCTGCTATCCGCTCGAGCGCCTGAGAATGTTGTCAAGTACTATCGCAGATATAAAGAAATTTGGATAGAACCCACTAGGGTACAAGTTTCTACAGGTGATAATTAACTAAATGAACATGGCTCTTGCTCTGAGACCTATTGAATTTAGTGAATGTACAATTTATTTTTCAAATTTCAATTCAAAGGTCAACAATGATCTTCACTGGAGTTAATTAATTTTTCTTTTAAAAAGGAAAAATTCTTTAGTTGTCGATGACAAACGTGGTAGTTTCGTCGTCGAGGGGGTCAAAGAAGAAATTGGCCGCCTACTTAATTTTCTATGAATTGTCTAACTTTGTTTGTACTATGCAGAACATCGTATTCGGAGACAGCGAAGCAGACAATCGTTGGAACCAGAGTGGATGAAAAATTACAAAAAGCGAGAGAAGGAACGCCGTGAAAGTCAAGAAAAAGCGAAAACCAAGGTTGTAAAACAGAAAATAGAAGGTACAGCTTACGGCCGCCCTATTGCACCCAAATTTAGTGCCGGAGCATGCGCCGTGGCTCTACCGACTGGCAGTGGATCTGCTGGTAATGCAGGAACAGTCACTTGGGTTGCTATAACAACTTCTACAAGTCCATGGAAGGCTGTCGCGCCACCAAAACCAGTTGAAGTGGTTCGCGAAGTGGATAATTCGGACACGGTAACAAATGTGCGGTCATCTCCCGTTAGCAAGTAAGCTGTTGTCATGTTTATTTAGTTTCTTTATCCCCAGGACTGTCTTGTTACTTTTTTGCCCAAGAAAGTATTGCGGAGGATTTTTAACTGTTTTTCTTGGAGTCAAATGAGACAGATGTTACAATCAAACCACTTCAAGGCTACCCCCATAAACTTTGTTACTGAACTGGTTAATATTTATAAACGAGACGTAGCTGATTTTTGACATCAACGTTGGGGTATTTTGGAACACGATTTAAACAGTTCACAGTCAGAGCAAATATTCTTGTGTTTTTGTCAATGAGTGCGAGATAGTTAATTTTATTTCCTTTTTTATTTAAGTGTTCACCTAACCAGTACCATGACTACGAGAGAGGATAATTCACCACCAAGTCTTGCATCTGCACCCGAACCTGATTTGGATACAAACGTTGATTCCAACCATTCTTCCGTAAATGATGAAACTGTCGCCCCAATGGACGAAACATCGGACAGTGAACCGATTGTTCCTCCTTCTGAAGCTGACTCAAATTCTTCAAATGCTGCTACAAAGGAGACTAACAGTGAGCAAGAGAATGCATCGAAGGAGGCAACAGAAAAGACATCATCAGCGAACACAAGTAACAAACCAGTTCCTGTTTCTAAACCTAAGGCATCGCGTGACAAGAATGGGGGTGGCGTGGCATGTGGTCGCGTGACATCAAAGTCCCACGTGACTGGGTCTGAGAGCGGAGGTGCCGGCAGTGGGACCTCGCGTAAAGCTGCGCTAAACTCACAGGTTGGAATGGCGGGAAATTACATTCTGGAACCAGACCCTAAGGTAAATGGCGCTTTCCATTCAACCGAAACTTTCGAGAATTTGGAAATAGCCGCAAATGGGGAAAAGTTTCCAGAAAATCCGATAACTGTTGAATTTCCGAAATGCGAACCATTCAAGCGAAAATTATAGAAATTCCGCGGGCAAAGTTGAGTGGAAAGAAAACTTTCGGAAAAAATTTTCGAAAATTTGGGTATACTCCGCGAGGTTGTCCTCTTTTTTGGAAATTTTGGAAAATGCTATTCCATTCGCTGCTAGAAGTTGCCGAAATTTCAAACCAGATGTTTTAGTTGACTGAAAAGCGCCCAAAGTGTACTGTACTAACGCAACGGTTTTCAATTTTTCGGTTTTTCTCTTGTTTATAGTGAACGCAAATATAATAGTATATTTCTTGACACTGTGTAACACAGACGATAATTGCACGGAGCCCATTAAAATGTGCTTTCCTAAAAATGCTATATACGCATATAGAAAATATCAAAAAAATGTGGGGTGCATTCCCGAAGGAAACCGTAAAGCTATTTCTCAAGTTTCCGGTTTGCCATTACCTGCTTTCTATTTTGATATTTATTCTTGTTTTGATTCTGTCAGTTTAGGAACAGGGCTCAAGCATTTGCTGAACATTTCATAGCCAAGGTTAAGGTGAGGTCCATCCTTTAGTTTAATACCCTATTTTTGGTAAACTTTTGCGGAATCGGTGACAACAGACCTAAAGGATGATTTTTGTAGGCTGCTTTCGCCATGCCTGCCATCTTGCACGCACGAAAGGATTCAAGCGACAAAAGCAATGTCACGCGGTTTTTCAAGGGGCAACAACTAGTAAAAACGGCCAATTCAATAAATTACATACTGTATGCTAAAGCAAATTGAAGTCATGCCAAATAGAGATTTCGAGTTTCGTCAAATTCGCGTTACTACTGCTTACTTCAAATCACTCATCGATACTTAGGCGTATTGAGCGTTTTCACTCACGTGGCCAGCATCTGTGCAAATTTATTGGAACAAAAGAAAGCGTTTACTCAAGAAGGAGTTGAAATCCCACAAGACTGGATTGGAACACCAACATGGCCGCCATGACGTCATGTGAAAACGCAGTATTTCTTCCATAATTCTCAGTGGTATTCGAAGTCTATTTCGAAGTACGAAGGTTGAATAAATTGCGTAATTCAGCTCCTTTCGGGTGATGTTACATGGGATGATTCGCAACGACAATTTTTTGCGCAACACAACGTTGGAGTGTTGGAACAATGTTGTAACCATTCGAAACAATGTCGCAGCGATGTTGCCACGCTTGCATTGCGCTAAAAATCGTCGTTGCGAATCGTCTCGAAAAACATCACCCTCAATGTCATATTCTGAAAGCTCGAAGATATTAGCTTGTTAGCTACTCTAAAAGTCGAGTATAAATAAAGTTTTATGTTATGTTTTGTTATTCTGAGAAATCTTAAAAGAGTTAAGTAAGGAAGAGTAAGTGTTGTTTTTGCCTTCCTTTTGATAGAAACAGCTAACGGACGACCCCGAAACTTACGAGGAATTTCTACGAACGCTGGCAATGTCTTCCCAGGAGCAGTGCTCCCCAGTAGAGGTAAATATTGTTTGGAGACGTTGACCCAGTTGTTCACTTACCCAGATGCATGGGTGAGTGAAACCTAATACTGTCATGAGTGAAAGTGAAACCTAATTCTGTCATTCATTTCTTGCTGGCGACCGAGATTCGAAAAGTCAGTCACCAATCCGTCGACCAAACCCTTTTGAAACGTGTGGTTTAGTAAATTTTGAAGGCGAATGAGTTCAGCAGATGAAATTTCAGGCATAAAACTCAAGGAAGTGAATGCGTATAAATTATTATTGTAATGACTCAATAGCCCACGATATATCAAAATTGTAACATGACTCCGAGGCTTTCTGATCATTTTTATTTGGTTTGGTTTTCTTTGTACTCAAGTCTATTTTGGGAATTGCGAGACAATGGAGTCGTGAAAAATTTGCAGTTTTGAACCTAAAGCCTCGGAGCCACATGGGCTATTCTGCAACAAGACGGAAACTGGGACGAGTTAACTTTCGCAAAGACTTCTGGAACTGTTGCTAAGGACAAGGAAAAAAATTGGCCAATAGATGACCGGCGCGTCCCCGGTAACGAGTACAGAAACAATTGCGAGACACCTTTCGTCTCCGGTTCCCTTCTTGTGAAAGGTTTGAACCCAGGAGTCATTTCAAAAGTAGGTTGAGTTTGATCGTCCGGTTGAACGTAGTCCAGAATAGGACTGTTGTTGTTGGCAGTGACTGACGTTTCGGCGATCTGTGCGGTAGTCATCTTCAGAGTCAAAGTGAGTTGTATCACGCCAGTTAATGACGATCACGTAAGTCAGATTTGTTTCTTAAGTGGTGAATTACAGCTTATCTCAATATTATTTTTTTGTAGTTATACAGAAGGGTTGAAGTTGTACTGGCAGATTATCCTGACCTTGTGGAGGGTTTTGTGGGATTTTTAGAGCCTCACCAGGCAGTTGAAGCGGGCGTGGTAAGTTTTTTACTTTCTTTTGGATCAATTTAGGTTTTATGAAAACTGCCCACCTACCCCTCCCCTAAACCAATATTTACGTTAATGTTAGCTCAGCCATTTAGTGCGTAGGTGCGAAACACCTAGGCAGAATCTTTTCTGTAAATTAATGTATCCCGAGCCAACACCACAATGTTAAAACCGTTCCTTCGTTTTGATATTTCATAGTTTATGGCAAACTTAGAGTTTGTGAGAGCAAGAACGTTCCTGAGAAAGCTTGAGGTCAGTTAAAATACCTTTTATTTGCACTAGTTAGTTTATTTGTTCGAGATAAAGCAATGCAAAATCTCAAAGAACATAAGAGAAACAGACGCCTGCAAAGTACAGTTGAATTTCTTTAGTTCGTTGGCGGCTTTCAATCCCGGGTTGAACTCAGCAAAGTTTTATACGGGGGCGGAGGTTCTGCCCCGGGGTCCAACCCCCTTTCCTTTTATATACCATTTTTGAAGGAAAAGGTACCATTTTCGTATACCCTCTATTGACAAATGGTACCCCTTTCACATGCCAAGTTTAGAGCTTTGCATCCCTTTTAACTGCTGTAAATGCACTGTTTCTTTTAAGTGTCTTATTTATATTTAAAAATATATTAAATAAAACACAAAACCAGTGCGCTCTTTCACAGACATACGATGCATCTGTCAGCCATTTTAGGCCTTTTACAGACCAAAATGTCATATTTCCTTACCTTTTCATATACTTCAACTACTGAAATCCCTACCCTTTCTTTATCTGAAGCCTGAAAAAGAGCCGTTATAGGCCATTATAGGAAGTACCCCCGGGCCTAGAAATCTAAGGACTTTTCCATTTAGGAGAACTTTTGAGACTTGCTGACCTTTTCTGAAGTCTCGCGCCGCGGGTATCGCGCTAAGTTTTTTAAGGTGCAAAGCACAATTCCCAGATCTGGAAGTGTCCTGTGATTGGTTTACGTTTTTACCCGCCCGCTTCAGCAGACGTTCGTTTGGGAGGACTGCGCGACCAGCCCAAAGAACGTCTGCGTCGGGAGGCTACTTAGTGGTTAGTCGGTTTTACAACCTTTAACAGTGCATGGACTTGAATTGCCCTTTCAGAGCGCGAAACGTTGGGCTTCTCCTATATTTTTGCTACTAGGTTCATTTCCAACGGACTCCTTCTCAATTCAGGAAGATTATCAACGCGTTTCATTCTTGGAATAAGAAAGCAGTCAAAGACCCTCTGGAGGTATGCGATGGGCATTTGACTTTTTGTGTCTGTTTGTTTTTAGGGAAGCCCCATAGCTAAGAAAAAATTTGGTAATCTATCCATCCGAAAATCTTTTGTAATCACTTGAATTCGATCTGGAACGCTTGGACACGTTTCAACGACTTCTTACGAACTCCTAAGAACTCCGTGGGTAAACAAATTACAAAAAAAAAAAGAAGAAGAATATACAAAAACAGTAACTGTTTCCTTCTGGACCGTTTTTGTGTACTGTATTTTACTGTGTAGCACACCAATAAACCGTTCAGCTTCTTTTGTGTCACTCCTGTTCTGTTGATCGCTCATTGGTTAAACTCTTAAATGTATGTAAGTTGGACACTTACGAGTGTAGGAAAAAGCAGCAATAGACCTTTTTACCGATACGGCAACCATGTTGAATTAATTCGATTTAAGGAGTATTATAGGATGCTCAAGGGGCATGAGCACATTTCGTTTGTATTTTCGGGCGCTGTCCGGGACATTTTTTCTTAAAGTTTTCTTAGAATAAGATTGTAATGGGAAAAAAGATCCTTGTGCCGTGTTTGGATGTAATAATGATCGCCTTTTTCTAGTTTAGTATTAGAAATATGGTCTTTCACTGTGTATTTCTCGGGAAAAAGGCGATCATTATATACTTCAAAACACGGCACAAGGATCTTTTTCCCATTACAATCTTATTCTAATAAATCTTTACGAAAAAATGTCCCGAAAAGCGCTCGAAAATACAAACGAAATGTGCTCATGCCCCCTGGGCATCCTACAATACTCCTTAAATCGAATTAATTCAATATGGCCGTCGTATCTGTAAAAAGGTCTATTTCTGATCCTATTGTTTAAATGCATTAGGAATATAGGGCCGAAATACATTAGAGACTTTTTTAGCATGCGAGAAACGTCTTACAATTTAAGAGGAAATGGTGTTAATCCTTGCGTTCCCAAATTTAATCTTAATTTTATGATAAGCTCTTTTACTTACAAGTGCGCTCAACTATGGAATAAACTTTCAGATGTCAAGCTGGCCGATAATGTTAATATTTTTAAGTCTAAGCTATGATCAATTCTGCTGTAGTTTTTATATATTTTTAATTTTTTTTGTAATTTTTATAATTTTTTATATTCACGTGTACATAGATTATAGATTATATATTTAACTTTTTTTATACTAGATATTATTATCATAATTGTAGATTTCATGCACGTTGGTATTTTGAACGAGTACTTGTGCTCATAGACGATAACGTGGTTAAATAAATTATTGTTATTGTTATTGTTGTTGTTATTGGTAGCAGTCATCCTCAATGTTTTTGTTTCACCATTTCAGCTACGACAAACTCTTGTTCCAATGCTTAAAGGCCAGACGCACCTGATTGAAGAACTTAACTCATTTTTTGAAGACACAAAGCCCCCTGTGTGGTGAGATAAGATAATTAAAATTAATAAAGAAATGCAGCAAGAATAAATAAATAAATAAACAGTACGATCCACTCTTATCCTTTTGGTACGAAAATAATCAGTTCTTCATAAAACGACTTTATCGTGTTCTGCTTGTTTTTCAAGTTCTGATGATGATTTCGAGGAATTTGAGTTTGGAAGTGGCAGCGAACCAGAGGTATGGTATTAAACATGTTCTGTTAAAGTTCTCCCAGATACGCAATGTTGAGGAATAAGGTTTCAAAAGGTTTGAAGCTGTTTATTAAGTTGTGGTGTTCCCCAGGGGACGATTCTAGGTCCACTACTATTTCTGTTATACATCAACGATCTTCCAAACTGTCTTTCAAATTGTGAGCCGAGGATGTACGCTGATGACACCCACCTTACATATGCAAGTGATAATGCAGACAATATTCAGTTGCATCTAAATCAAGATTTAGAAAATGTTCACAATTGGCTGAGAGCAAACAAACTTACCCTAAATATGACTAAAACCGAATTTATGCTTATCGGATCTAGGCAGAGGCTAAGTACTCCCACAGAGTCCCCGACATTTGCAATTAATGATTTTCAAGTTAGCCAGGTCACTACTGCAAAATCACTTGGAGTGACCATCGATGGCAGACTTGATTGGAGTGGCCATATCGAGAAAGTAACAAAGAAGGTCGCTTCTGGTATTGGGGCCATAAAACGAATAAGGCACCTTGTCCCTCAGGCGACCTTACAACTAATATGTCAAGCTTTAATACAGCCACACTTTGATTATTGCAACATTGTTTGGGGAAACTGTGGGATAACCTTAAGGAATAAGGTTCAAAAGCTACAAAACAGAGCAGCCCGTGTTTTGACCTACTCAAGCTATGACGTAGATGCTGGTCACCTTTTCAAACTTCTAGGGTGGAAAAACCTAGCTTGCCAGCAACAAATTCAAAGAGCTACGATGGTTTACAGGTCTCTGCACGGGTTGGCTCCAAACTATCTTAGTTCTAAATTTGAAAGGCGAGAAGTCGCATATAACCTAAGGGGCTCTGAAAATAAACTCAATGTACCATTACCGCGCACAAACTATTACAAAAACAGCTTCAGCTATAGTAGCGCCATTCTCTGGAACAGTCTTCCTTGTAACTTAAGGGAAGCAGAGACCCTTGGGCAATTTAAACGATTACTCAAAGAACTGTAAGGCACGGCATTCGTGGAAAGCAGCTTTTTTATTTCAATATTTTTTATTATATTAGTATTAGGCATTTTTAAAGCTGACGAATTTTGTACCGTGGATAAATAAAGATTATCTATCTATATCTATCTATCTATCTATCTATCTATCTATCTATCTATCTATCTATCTATCTATCCATCTATCCATCTATCCATCTATCCATCTATCCATCTATCCATCTATCCATCTATCCATCTATCCATCTATCCATCTATCCATCTATCCATCTATCCATCTATCCATCTATCCATCTATCCATCTATCCATCTATCTATCTATCTATCTATCTATCTATCTAAATTAACAAAACAGCCATCTATCTGGGATAAATATAGAAAAGAAAGAAATAGAATAAATAATGAGATTAAAATGGCAAAAGCGAATTATTATAAATCAGAAGTGGAACAAAATGTGGGTAACCCGAAGGAAATATGGAGGACAATCAATGAATTAACATATCGTAAGTGCACTAGTAACTCTTCCATAAGTGAACTAAAAAGTGGTGATAATTCCTTCACAAAACCCGCAGAATTGTGTGAGATTTTAAATGACCATTTTACATCTGTCGGTCCAAACCTAGCCTCCACACTGCCTAGTGGAAATACAAGTTTTGACTCTTACATAAAGCCTGTTTCCACGACTTTTAATTTACAACATACCTCTGCCACTGAAGTTTTAAAGTTATTAGGTAAATTATCTCCGAACAAGGCCACTGGCCTTGATAACATCTCATGTCGGCTTCTAAAAGAAGCTGGCCCAATTATTGCCACTTCTTTAACCTGTATCATAAACAAAACCATAGATACTGGCCTCTTTCCTTCACAGTGGAAAATGGCTAAAGTATTTCCTTTGTATAAAAAGGATGATCGTACAGATGCACAAAACTATAGACCAATATCTGTCTTGCCAGCCATTTCTAAGATTTGTGAAAGGGTAGTCTACGATCAACTATACAGGTACTTAAATTCAAATGGCCTGTTGACAAAAAACCAGTCTGGATTTCGTTCCCTTCACTCTACAGTGACAGCGCTGTTACATTTAACAAATAATTGGTATCTTAACATTGACAAAGGCATGACCAATTTGATTGTGCTTCTCGATCTTGCCAAAGCCTTTGACACCGTTTCACATAATATTTTATTAAAAAAGCTTGAGCTCTATGGTCTGAAGGGTGTAACGTTCGACTGGTTTTCATCGTACCTATCAGATAGGCAACAGCAGTGTGTAGTAGAGGGCTGTGTATCTAAGCCCCAGTTGATAAGTTGTGGTGTTCCACAGGGTTCAATTTTAGGCCCTTTGTTGATTTAATTTATATCAATGATCTCCCTGGATGTCTTCTCCATACCAAAGCACACATGTATGCCGATGATACCACGATATATGCGTCCTCTGTATCCACTGCTGAACTATATGCCAAGGTAAATAATGACCTAACTCGCGTTAGGGACTGGCTTCTTGCAAATAAGTTAAGCTTAAATGTCACTAAAACGGAGTATATGTTCTTAACAACTACCTTCAAATTATCTAACTTAGGAAGAGACTTTCCAATTAAGATTGGCAACAATCATGTTAAACGAGTCCAAACAACAAAATATTTAGGAATTCACTTAGATGAAAATCTTAAATGGAACGAGCATGTTGACAAACTTTGTTCAAAAGTCAATCGATCCATCAGTGGTCTAAAACAGGCACGTGATTATGTACCATTAGATGTTCTAAATACTATTTACAAATCTCTTATCCAGCCTGTGTTCGACTACTGCGACGTTGTTTGGGACAATTTAGACCAGGGACTTGCCACTAGGATCCAGAAATTACAAAATCGTGCTGCACGCATAATAACCTTTCAAGGTTATGACGTTCGTTCAGCACAAATACGAAAACAACTAAACTGGGAAGAGCTTGCCTCAAGGCGTCAAAGGCACTTAAGTCTATTAATGTATGATACAGTGAATGGAAATATACCTAGTCACTTAAGCGATCTTTTCTCGAATGTCTGTGAGAACAACCCTTATAAGTCTATGCTAAGAAATGCGGAATATAATGTTGTACTGGATCACGTTCCAAAAACAGAATATTATAAGGGGTCTTTCTCATACAGAGGAGGAATGCTGTGGAATTCTTTACCAAATGACATAAAAGCGTCCGAATCTAAAGCTATCTTTAAAGAAAACTGGCTAGTAGGCAGGCAAACTGTTGACTACATTTTACTATATTTTATTATTTGTACATATTTTTAGTGTAGTTGTACAGTATTTACTTCTGTTTCTATACGGCTTTCATGTAAAGAAGTTATGTAAGTTATGAAATTACCGTATTCAAATAAAAGTGAATCAATCAATCTATCTATCTATCGATCTATCTATCTATCTATCTATCTGTCTGTCTGTCTGTCTATCTATCTATCTATCTATCTATCTATCTATCTATCTATCTATCTATCTATCTATCTATCTATCTATCTATCTATCTATCTATCTATCTATCTATCTATCTATCTATCTATCTATCTAATCTATCTGAAAACAGGACACTTTATAGCGCCATTGTTCTCTTTTTTAAACGTAAAGCATTAGATTTAAACACGTATTCACCAAAAATATATTCTTAACTTAACAAATTCTGCGTGTTGGGTTATTTTGCCTGTGGCCGTAATTAACCTTTAAAGAATTTCGGTCAAGGAGGGAGGGTTTTAGAGCCACTTAATATATTCATTAAAATAAACAAACACACAAACAAAAATAAGAGATAAAACTTTAAGTCGTAGTTTAAGGTTGGTCTAACTTCTTGTGATGATTTTTGAAGGTGGACGATTTTGAAGAAGTGGAAATACCATGTTTTGTGGAGCCGAAGAAAATGAAAGGTCGCCCTCCAAAAGAAACTCAGAAAAACAAGGCAAGGAAAAACAAAAAACCTTCTGGGATAGCTAAAGGTTCAAAACAACAGGGAAATGCAAGCAAACCGGCAGGAAATAAAACTAAAACAAAAACTAACCTCACTAAGGGAGGCAAGCAATATACTCTCCTTGGGGGATCCCTCGGAAAAAATGAGGAGGGAAATCTGAAACACCCCCCTAGTATTCCAACAAATGGAGAAGTTACAGGGGAGGAAAGTGGATTGGACGATCAAAGAAATGAGGTTCACCTTCAAGAAGGACCTTTGTCATCAGCAGCAACCTCGCTGCAATCAGAAACTAGTAATGACAGTTATCATGGAGAGGAACTAAACCCGGCCTCTGGGGACACTTTAAGCCCCGAACATGAAGAACGCGAGGTGAGGAACTACGAAAGCGAGGAACAAGGGGATGATGGGAATTCCGACGTGGAGCATGATGGGTATGAAGAGGATGAAGATGACGATTTTCTGGATGGTGAACCTGCTGTTTATAATAATGACTTTACAAGTGGTGACTTAGATTGTGACGTAGTTGGTGACGTCAGAAGTGATGCTGCCGCAAGTGATTGTGGTAGTGGCGACGTTGATATGGCCTCTTCGGGTGTTGTGCCAGCTAAAAACCTTCAACGAAGTGAAGACGGACAGGTGGTTCTACTATGGACCAGGTAAGCTTTAAAAAGCCTATTTAGAGAGGCCGGTTTACTCGAAAGAGCTCCCCCCCCCCTGCTGCGCCTAGGAGCTAGGATAATAATCTGTTTCGGTATTTAATAATGTTGGATTAGCCCTTCTGGTTTGAAAAGTTTGGGCCCGTCCAGATTAATTACAAACAATCCAGCAGTACCGGGGCAAATCTTCTCAAACGTTTACATGTGTACCTTACTAGTCTAATTTATTACATTTGTACATTTGTACAAGATTTTTTGAGTTGGTGAGATAAACCTCTAGACCCGAAAGTGGGTGGGTGGTAGGGAGGCTAAACTATAATTACATTACAAGATGTCTTGAACTTTTGCTTCAATCACTTATTGAAACTAAATGAATGGCCTCTGCCACGTGTTAGGCGGTATATATAGCGTTGATTATAAACTAGAATATGATATGGCCAACTGATAACTATAATCCTACGCGCGTCAAATTAAGCATTTTAAACGAAGTGCAAAATCAATCAGTGATGCACCACTCTGGGTTGTTTACATTTAAATGGGACTCTGAGCTTGTCCCAGGCCAGATTAAATCTTTTTTTTTTAATCTCATTATTATATCGAGGGAAATAATAATAAATTTGTTTCTACTTTAATGTCTAAGAATGTTATTGTTCTTTTTTGTTATTAAGGGAGGACGACCGGACGATTTTACAAACTTGTCAACAGTTGGGTGCTAAGTCAGAAACGTTCCAACACATAGCAAACAGTCTGAAAAATAAAACTGCAGCCGAGGTAAGCGCATTAAGACGGCATATGTCATTCACGTCAATGTGAATTGACAGCTGTCATAATGGTCTAATCCTGTATTGTATGGCCGTTTTGTGGACTCAGGAACCACACTCATAACGGTCACGTATTTCTTTGGTAATCCACTGGCCTGTTAGTAATTTTTCATTCAAAGAAGACTCTTGGTATTCATCAGGTGCTCCCCTTTTAGGCTGACTAAATCCATACATTAGTTTACCACTTAAGAAAAATGTAAATGACGAAAATGCCATGAAGTCATCTCAGATTCTCATTTCGCCCTTGTCTGATTTTTCGATTTGTCAACGTTCACTCAGTGGTTTTGCTGCCTCTTTTTTTTTTTACTTCTTCCCCGTTTCTTTTTTTTTTCTTTCAGCTCTTGTCGGCCTTCTTTCGTTGAATCAATTATATCTTTTATATTTTTTCTTTCAGGTCCAAAAACGTTTCATGGATCTACTGAACCTTTTTAAGGCTAGTAGTGGCGATGGAACAAGGAAATCCACAAACGAAGATTCTTGCAGTGAAGATGAAGCCGAAGACGAAGAAGACAGTGAAACAATTGGCGAATCAGACGGTGAACAGGCCCACGACGCCTAGCCCAACTTCGGTGATGTAGACATCATTGTTACATTCAACGGTTAATCTGCTTCAGTTGGTATCCATCAGTGAGCAAACTAAAAAAGACTACAATTGTTGATATTGAGCTAAATCGAGATAACAAAGGATAAAGCGTTGGATATTCTGAAAATATAAGAACTATCATGCTCGTTAATAGCAGACGCAGTTCGGGTGCAAATTTAAACGTACTGATATTTAGACAGCATTTGGCAGGTAATAAATTCATTCGTTCGAACTCAGGAACAGAAAATCCCAATCACTGTTTAGTGCTAATGCACGTAGCATAAAACAGGGGCACCCAACGGCAATTTTCGCGAAAATATCTGTTCGGAAGACGATTTGAGATCTAGAATTTTCGGAGCATTTGTTGTAAAATTTCTTGCTTGCCTGCCTCTCCTAGGATTTTCGAACATCTACAAAATGGTATAATTACCCATTTTTGACGGATTTTGATCCTAAAAAAGGCCACCTAGAATTTTCGGGAGCCTTTTCCTGGCTGAAATTTTCCATAAGGTAAGTTGTTATCCCTATAATTTTCGGGTCATTAGACTTTCAGCTAGGAAATCCGAACAGATGAAAAGTTTTTAGGGGATAAAAATTTGCCTATGTCTACCGTTTGAATCAGCTAAACTATATCCTCGTTGGGTGCCCCTGATAAAATACCAAAACACTTCAGTTGGTTGAAGTTAGACTTCGTTTAAGATAAGAAATACTCCACAGAGTTAATTGTAAACAAAGTGTTTTGTTAGAAGGGAAAAGACCGCAGTACCACTGACAGTGTGTTAATGTTCGATATACATCCTACTATTGCTAATGGTCAAGATGGAATTTATAGAACATAACCAAGTTGCATTCTGAACAGCATCAAGTATGTATAGAATTCCACACGCGTGTACTACGTCAATCAAACTTCTCACTAGTAGACCCCTACCCTTGGGACCAGAAATAGTGTCTTCTCACGGGAGATGTTAGTCACAGAAAGTAAGGTTCGTTGTTATAGCAACGAAATTTCATAGGTAGACTGAAGAGAGCTAGACCTGTCTAAAAAACATTTCCATCTCTTTTCGAGGCGATCATTCGTTGAAATTTAGTGAAAATAAATTAATCTAAGGAAAAATAATTATTAATAAAGGCGAATGTTGTATATTCTGGCGGTGGTGAATGGTGATTGTCGTCCCCAGAGCCGCAGGAGCCTGGGCACGATTTGTTTGGCGGAGTCACCACAACAGCTGTCGAAAATTTCTGTGCCTCCCCTCCCCCGCAAACCAGACCCATAGTAGATGGTGTCATCACAAAGGGTGTAGACATCTTATTCTCTTTTCAAAGAGGAGTGAGGAATCTTGTTTTTTCTCTTCGAATTGTCAAGGTATTAAAATGAAGGAGAAAAGCATTGTGGCAGCCAGTGACAAATGACGCAATCATCACAACCAGCAAGGTCTTGCGCGAGTTCTTTGAGTTCTAAACTAATGCAGAAACGCTTGCTATGCAGGCCAATCAGGTTTTGAAAGGCTTTCGAGGTATAAATCAACCTTTCTCCATATACGGTTTTCTCCTCCGTTTTGCGCGCGTGGGCGACCTTTCTACACTGGATATCGATCGATAACATAACAGCGAGTATAAATAGCACAACAAAGTTGGCAAGATCCCCATATTCATGATGTGGTATCGAGTAACAAGCGGAAACAACTGTCATATTACAACAAACCCATCATTGTTCTTGTGCAGCCTACTGAATTGTAATCACAACAAACGATGGCTTCTCAAAAGAAACGTTTGCCTTCCTTTGCTTCGATTATTTCTGTTTTTTAACGATTGTTCTTTACGGAGCCGGTTTTCTGAGAGTAGAATTTGAGCTGAACGAACAAAGGAAGAGAATATATGCTCTTGAAAACACTGAGGAGACTGAGCCGTCCGATGCTCCAAACAGGAATGCTGGCGGTAAGTTTGTATTTAATATGGTTTAATAGTTTACAGAAAACACCTCAAACAGAATTTGCTATTCTAGTAGCTTTTTCATTCTTTTTTTCTAAAAAGCAAATCTTGTGAGTCCAGAAAATTTTGCATATAGATATCTTGTCTTAGTGTGCTCGTCGCGTGGCGCCGAGACAAACGAAAGCAGCGAAGGTGAACAGGTCAAGGAAATAGCATTAAAACATGTTTTTTTAAAGAAAGATTTAAATAAAATCGATCCTATGATGAACTTTGTTTCTCAACAGTAAATGTTGGCTACTTAGTGAATTGCCTTGTTGTGCTCAAGGACAGCTGAAATTGAAAAACGAACACGGAAATGATATTTTTGATGGGGAGGGGTTTCTTTTGCAGCAGAGCTCCAAAAACGCGCTTGTGAACTTTCCTTACTTCGTTCTTATCTAATCAGATACTTGGAACGACTTTAATACCCTGGAGAGATTTTAAACAATTGTTACCCAACATTTTGGAGGGTAAACAAGGTATATTGACTTTAGTGTGGGTGTATGACACAATTACTTAGCATTAGATTTGCGAGTTATGAAGGTCAAACCAGGCCAAACTCGTTCAAATTCTAGCTTTATTTATCGGAGAAGAACAAGCGTTTTCCCTATTTGGCGAAAAAGATGATTGACCCTGTCAATCAGGAGGATAGTGTTTTCGCTTTCTCAGATCTTGAAAGCTTAGATAGTTTAAACAAGAGAGAATGATTCTCTCTTGGTTTAAATTATGGGGGATAAAAAGTGTGATCATTGAGGCGGGCAAGAGGGCTTCCTTCCCCCCCCCCCCCCCCTTTTTCCTTGGCTACCAATAATCCGAGTTAACTCTAGTAAGTCTCATAAAAACCAGGTAGACAGAGTCCTCTGACCAGATTTTTAGCACTTACCCGAGAAATGTTCTTTGTAGAATCTAAATATTTCAAGCTTACTAGGAACAGACGCGTAGCCGATGCAATGAAAAACACCACAGGAGCTAGAAACACAGTAGACATGGAAACGGTTCTGAAAATCAGCAAACTTTTTTCTGAGTTGAAACCTCAACTCTGTCATTCAAATGGCGTCACATGTCCTCCAGGCCCTCCCGGTCTACCAGGACCAAAGGGAGACAAAGGATCCCGGGGACGAAGAGGACAGAAAGGACGAACAGGAAACAGAGGAGATCAAGGCATTGTGGGATCGCCCGGAATGAGCGGAAAGCAAGGCATCATGGGACCTGTAGGTCCGAAGGGTGATGTTGGACTCAAGGGACAAAAAGGAGACATAGGACCTGCAGGCATGCCGGGAGCTAAAGGAGAATCTGGTGAATCGATTTCAGCTCCTGTCATTGCTGTGTCCCCTAAAACGCTGACAGTTAACGAAGGTGGATCAGCTTCGTTTCAGTGTTCAGTGAGTGGTAATCCTAAACCTGCAATCAATTGGAGTAAACGGAACAGTCTGTCACAAATAAGCAAATCATTGGCTGCAGAAGGAAAGTTGCTTCTTATGAATGTCCGAGGAAGTGATTCGGGTACATATAACTGTTCAGCGGTTAACATTTTAGGACAGGCGCAGGCACTGGTACAGCTGATAGTAAATGGTAAGACCTTTTTGAAATTAAAAAAAAAAAGAATGAATGGTAAGAAACCAGTTTCGAATACTCTGCTGTCCTTACATTTTGCGTCGGATAAATTTTTTCAAAACATAGTAAAAAAAAGGTTACAAAACTGAATATCATAACTATGTTGTTGTTTTTTTTCTTCAGAACTATTTATGCCTTTCTCATGGCTTAGTCAGCTCTATCGTAAAATCTAGCCTTAAAATCCTAGAATCCTCTTATCAATAAAACGAATTGAAAGCAAATCAGTCAAAATATTTTATCTGTTTCAGTTCACCCTCGAGTTTCCCTTCATCCGGGACCTCATCACGCTATTGAAGGAAGTAGTTATACTCTTCCATCCTGTCACGTGACTGGGTATCCCGCACCTGTGGTCTCATGGAGAAAGTCATCCGGTCTATTACCCCAGGGAAGGGTGAAGTACAACAACAGTGCATTACAAATTCTTCATCTTCGTAAAGGTGACTCTGACTTTTACTTTTGTGCGGCAACAAACCTGTTGGGACGCGTTGAAAAGAACACACTCTTAGTTGTTGTCTCTCCTCCTCGGTTCACTGTTAAACCACCTGCTAAAGTTATTGCACTAGTCGGAGGAACTTTGAAGTTAAATTGCAGCGCTACTGGTGATCCTCGACCAGTCATCAGGTGGAAAAAACAAGGAGGTCAACTTCCCTTTGGGCGGAGTCAACAGATTAATGGAGATTTGGTGATAAGAGACATATCAAGGAGCGATAGAGGAAATTACATTTGTATGGCAACGAATGCAGGAGTGTTTAAAGCTGAGACAGGCACCTACACTGAAGTTAAAGGTGCGATTTTATAACGTTTAGAATATAAGCATTTTAGAAGAGTAGTAAACGTAGATTTAATCCAATTTTGCGTTCTGCTTTTAAAGGGGCGGAGGGGAGAGAAAAGTTCCTTTTTCTTTCAGAGGTACTGATTTGGACATATTTTGGAGACGTTTAGGCAGACAGATGATTGCTATGATTATCAGATAAACGGTTTTACATGAAGTCAGTGAGTTCAAGTGATTTTCAGAGCGAGTGTGCGATTTGTTCGCATAAAGTTCTGAAGCCGTTGAAATCAAGTAACGGTTTTTTATTTTACTTTCGATAAAGTACTCCTGCTATTTTTAGTTATATACATAATTTTCATGCATCTGTTTTGTTTTGTTTTACCTTTTGAAGAACGTGTCTCTTCATCCACTATTCTTAGCAGCCTTGACAGCAAGTACCTCATTAAGTTGAATTCATATTTAGACCCAGTCCTTCAGAGTCCAGGTCGCAGTAGGTTTGTGAGGTGTTGGCACGCTAAGACTGATGGTTGGGCGACATCAACATTCCACAGCAACTGTGATGGAAAGGGTCCCACTGTAACCATCGTCCAAGTCGGTAGTTACATATTTGGTGGATACACTGACAAGTCTTGGGGTGGTATGTATCATTTCATAAACGCCTTAATCGCACACAGATGTTCAGCGTTTTCGTGTGGACGGGGGCGAAAACGATTCTAATACGCTTCGCGTAGACGCTTACTTTTTGTGAAAAAGCGGCGATAAATTTCTCCATTTTCCTAAAACATCCCGATACATGTGGACTGGACGTAAAACCAGCGTATACGTTGCACAAAAACGCCGTTTATGTGTGAAAGGAACGCAGAATTCGGACCAAAAAAACCCTCCGTTTTCAAAAAATTATATCCGGATACGTGTGGATAAGACCTCTTTAACAAGCATATTAGCAACAGACACCGTTGGCATAAGGAGATGGTTAAAAATACAACAACAATAACTAAGCCGCATGGGCTGTTTTATTTCCATTTTTTTTCTCTCTGGAGTATTCTGTTTGTCTCTTAAAATGCTTTGATAAACGGTTTGAAAGTATTGAAATGCTTTCACACCAAACAATTGGTAAAAAGTTGTAATGTTGATGTCCGTGACAGATTGTTCTAATGGATCCAAATGAAATAACTAACTTGTTAAGTAAATGAATACCAAAGCGAACATGCCTGAAATTTCATTTTTTTCTACAAGAGTTTACTAGTAGCTTTATAATGTACAGAACAGTACTTTTTGAAAACTTGACTTATTTTAGGTGAGGACTGGTGTATTGCCTCGCTTTGTTAATCATTATAGCATATTCTATCAAAAAGGTTCTAAAGCGAAAAACATCCAGCTTCGAACACATATTTATAGCTGCCATTGTCACCCTTGCTACTTATTAAAATGTTTTGAATAATTTAAATTAATATCTGAAAAATGTTTTTCCACAGGTTCTTGTCGTTATGTCTATTCAAGTAAATCGTTCCTGTTCTCGTTATATAACATCAATGGCTACGCTCCTGTGAACATCAAGTCAAGTAGTTATAGTAAAGCTATTTACACATGTTCTGATAGGGGACCATCCTTTGGTGGCGGACACGACCTGCACATACACAACAACGCTGCAAGCAACAGGAATTCCTACACTAACTGTGGCTACTCCTACCTCCTCCCCCCTGGGTACTCTGCGTCTTACTCTTCCTGTAGATTTTATGCAGGTGGATCCAGCTACCAATTCACTCCCACTGATGTTGAAGTGTTTTACGAGACAATAACTTAAACCCTGTAAAGGTAGATCACGTCTGCCAATCCAAGTAGTGTAAATACATATATGGACGCGGTTTCGTAGACTCCCAAAGGAAAGTGTTTTAAATGGAGGTTTTCGTTTCAATTAAGTGATAACGAATTTTTTTAATAAAAACTGTTAAAAATCCTTTTAAAATCAATTTGGATATCGACCAGGAGCCAGTGAAGATTCACAAGAAGCTGTGTTCTGCGCATGTTGGAGCTTTAATCATGGGCTTTGAGGCAAACCATTATATAGCAACGAATTACAGTATTCAAGCTTGCTTGTAAATTTAGTCCACTGGGTTAAGTTTAAGCTGTCCAGATCAAGGAACTGGTGTATTAAGAGAAATTGTTTGACTGTTACTATATTATCAGTAAGGTACCTTGCTTGCCTTACTCATAATGTGTACACATAACTGGCCATTGTTTGCTTCATGCACAGCAGAATCCCTGAACGTCAGCTTTTCAGTATCCAGTTTTTTTTAATACATAACATGAAATGCTTTTAGATGCTACAATAGTTTCTACCTTTATCCGAAGTCGTAATCTACCTTTCTATTAGAAATTGACTTGGGAATGGTGCATGTACATGATAAATATGCAGGGATCCAAAAATAAAATGAAAATGAAATGAATCAAATAAGTAAGGATGACATTGCGCAATCGGGCCTTGACCAGGATGCCACAACCTAAGAACATCTAAAATTCTAAATAATTTGTAATCGCATGTTTTCACCAATCAGTTGTTTATTTTAAGATCGCGGATTTTCTCTGGAATTCAGACTTTTGCGCACAGCCCACAAACCTATGAAGGAAGGCGCTGTCTGCATAATTTTGTGGTTTAGTACCAAAGAGTACGAGAATTGGAAGCTCATTTTAAAAGTTAACTTCCAAAGCATTTTAAGCGGGTTATTAACATGAAAAAGGTGAAAATTAAGTTAATTTAATTCGCTTGGTTTTGGTTTCACGTATCCGCTTTACTTAATGGACAGAAACCTTTTTTTAAGCAAATAGATGGTACACGTGGTACACCGTTACAACGCCAATTCCACAACTTTTAAAATATACCTTCTTTATTACGAGTAATAATACTTGATTAGCTTTCACGGAGCGCGTATTAAGCCTGTACATGTGTGCAGACGTTTGAAGGGGATCAACGAAAGAGGGAACTAAGTCCGGGACCTCGGGGCGGAGCCTCTCCGTATAATCATTTGTTGAGTAACCCCCCCCCCCCTCCCGGGAGCTAAGACGCCCTTGCGCGAGCAAGCCTGTCTCCTTTACCTTTAAACGCTTGTCACATAGGTTAGGCAGGAATCAGGCGGTGTGCGCACTACGATCGCTAAGCATCATGGGCGGTATTCAAAATCTGATCATTTGTGTCAAGATGGCGTGGAGTGAACATCTCGACTGCGGAGTGAATATTCGTTAATTACGCTGTAGATATATACGATTTTGCTTTGAATGTCCTACGGAAGCCCTTGAATAAGAAAGTTTGTCCAATTCTCAGGGAAAAAACAGTCTCATTCCGTTGATAAGTGTATTCTGGTGTATTTTGTTCGTAATCACTTGCATCCTGTTTGCAACTGACCGAGAAAAGTCGGCACAATGCTTCAATCATGAAAAGCACTGGAGGTAAGACCCGCGGTTCGCCGAAAATTTTTGAATTCACCGTGAAATCAGTGCACTAGTGCTAAGAGGTACTGATGTGCATAGCTGTGATATACTCATAAAATACTAGGAGCTTCTTCAGAATACCCGGCAACGGTATTTAAACACAGTGAGCATATTTTGTTTTGTCATTCAGCATTGCAAGATGTTCACTTGCTAGCTGTAATAAGAGAATCGAAGTTGAGGGGTCATCGTTTCGAGGACTTGTTTCTCTGTTGGCACCAAGTCTGCATTTCGTTTTGCTTAACATCTGTATTTATCATCACATGAAGACAAGTAAATAAAGTAGAGAGTATTTGTGTACAGTGAACTTGTGTCCTCTTTATAGATAATATAATATTGAGCATCTTTATTTGCCATATTTTTCTATTGGTATGAGTCATAGAATGTCTTATAATTGGATTGAAACTGAAAATGGCATATTTGTGATTACAAAGCCTGATGCAGTCAATAGATTTTAAAAGCTGCAGCCAATATTTGTTTATGATTGTGTCAGTATGTACAAACACATGTTATCACATATTTTTTTGGATTATAAAAACTCTTCAAAATGTGAAATTCATACATGTTTACAAATCTCCTGTAATCAGGGCTGGGGCAACATAGCTTGAGACCCCTTTCCTTTCTCCTCACTCCAATTTTATAATTTAAATATGGTGTCCTAGGTCTCATCATACTCACAGTCAACTCTGTTATACAGACACTGAGGGGACTGTAGAAATTAACCATCTTAATTTAGAGAAAATTTAAGGGCTTTTTTCCAGGGAACAAAGCAAGCTATCTGTAATGATGAGCAAGGCTGTGCTCTAAGGAACATTGAAAGGAGCCTAGTTCTCTGAACCTGTAAAATCTAGGCTGCCCAGCATATGATTTGTATGAAAAGTCTGAGATTTTCTAGTCACCCAAAAGCAAAAGTTAGGTGCCAGGGGCCACAGGGCTCTGCTAGAGCACAGCCTTGATCAGGTGTCTGTATGAAGCGGTTGTCCGTAAAGAGGGCTTTTGGGTTACCAGTTATTGCAGAGGTGGATCCTAGTGGTACAGTAAAACTCCCTGACTTAGAACCTGAATTTCAAGAACCTGTTCAGCTAAAATAAAATTATGCCAGATGAGCCCCCTTTATATAAAAACCTGTTTAGCCTAAAATTTGAAACAGGTTCTTATTTTTCAAATCTATAAAAAAATTCTGTACACTTGAGCAGAGATAAATCAACATTTAGAATGTTCTTTGGAGACAAAGCTGTCTTATCACTCCAACTGCAATGTAAATGCCAATGTTTAAATTTAAATACATTCCTCTTTTTATTTCCATTCTCACATAACTTCTAATTTGGTATGCAGACTTTATATGTGGAACAAGGTGAAACACAAATACTCTTAGCTACATTTTTACTTCAGAAAATATGAACCCATTTAAAAACCTAAATAGCCTAAATTTGTGCTAACTACTATTTATATAAGAATCTGTTTAGGCTTACTTAGTTAATTCAGGTTCTTAGTCTCATGATTTTACTGCCCCATTGTTCCACTTTTTCTATTTCCTTTCCCTGTCACCATTTTTTCAGCCTTGGTTTTCCAATATCAAAAGCACATTCAATGATCAAGCAATTTATATTTTAACTAAAGCCACCAAAATATGCAAATTGCTTGATATATATTAAACAGTGTAAACGGGTAAACAGATAGAATGACATCACTTTAATAGCCTGTGTGGCAGGCATTTCAAAGAAAAGGGAAAGTGGGTCTTGGTGCAAGAGAAATGTGAGGGAAGGAGGGAGGGAAATGCCTGCCATACAGGAGACTAATTGTTTTTTGCATTATAAACATCAACCAGGTGAATGTTGCAATCACTCCCTCCTTCCTCGTGCACTCTTCGCATTTCTCTTGTGCCCAAAACCCTTCTCCCTTTCCTTTTAAATGCCTGCTATGGAGGCTAATCACCACTGAATAAAACAGGGACTAGGCAAGAAACTGACCAAGTCATAACATCCACACAACAACACACAACAATCTTGGAAGTACATTGTTGGTTTCAAAATGCACAGGGCTTAACTGTATAATCAAACTTATCTTTTAATTTAATACCTGTAATTCTAATCCTACTGATTTTATACCTGCATAAAGAGAGTCACCAGTATGACTGCAATTTTATTATGCTTTTTTAGTCCTATTACAAAAACAGACATTCCTACATCAGAGTACTCATCAGCCTATTTATATACCAGTTTCGAACATTTTATGCTCACCTAATGCTATTGTTTGGAGGAACCAGTCGCCGCTGCACCGCTATTTTGTGATCAGCTTGTGATTACAACAGTAACACTTCCAGTAACATGTCACATTGGTCTTCGCGAGGCGACATTTTCCCATGAAAACATGCCGGTTTCAATTCGGAAAAAGTATCACAAAACGTGGGGCGCGTTGGGGAGCGATAAAAAATTAGCGTAGAACAAGGTTTGTAGAAACACTTACAACTATCTTCTACTTTCGACGGGAAATATAATGGAAATTATAGCCTCTTAAAAACCGGGTTCAAATTTCATGCTCTTACAGGAGGAATCTTCGGGCTCCACGTTTTAGATTGAAATGAAGAATATTGATTTGTTTTTCTTCACAGAAAAAATCTAAACAAATATTAGCTTGTGAAATCGAGAAAAACTATCTAAGGAAAGAACTGTATCTATTGAAAAATAAAGCATATAACCTGCGAAATTTCTCGACCTTCGCCGCCATCTTGAAAATTTTGAATCCACAATGCATCGCAGTCGTAGTGCGCACACCGCCTGGGCAGGAATAGGCCTTTTACATTAATTGATCACGTGATCAACTTTTTATAAACACGAAAACAGTTCGCTTTTGAAAAATTTTGTTAGCACGAACTGAAAGAGGGTATTAAAATTAGGTAACCCGTGAATTTTCAGCCGTATATCTCAAAAGTAGCGATTGCAACGGCCGCCGAAAATTAGAAAGATTTGTATGAGAAAAACAGCGCTTGCCACCCAGTCACGCGGTTTTCCATACAACTCCTTGTAAATTCCGAAACTTTTCAACTGTCGTTAAATCATTCCCTTTCGCATTTAAGGGCTCGAAAATGCCTGTTATGAATTAAAAGGAGATTTGAGCCCCGTAATGCTTAAGGAAATATTTCACGACAGTTTGAAAATTTCGAAATTTACAAGGATTTGTATGGAAAACCATGCAAGCGTGACTGGGTGGCAAAAGTTGTTTTTCGCACAAAAATGCATCTAACTTTTGGCGGCCGTTGCAATCGCTGCTTTTGATTTATACGGTTGGAAATTTACGGGTTACCAAATTTTAATATGCTCT